CGTGGTGGTGGTGGTGGCTGGTTGGGTGTCTCTCTGCCGCGTCTAAAATATTGCGGCTGTCCAGACACTGACGACACGCATCAGCAGGGGTCGGAGTGTAGCTGTGGGGCCAGCTTGTAGCTGCGGAGTCAGCTTGTGGTTGTCGAGTCTGAGTAACGGAGGCAAGGGCGTTGGCGCCTGTAATCCTTCTTCTGTCCTGCGCGTTCACGCGGAGTGCTCACTCATATTGGGGGGGGGGGGGGGGATCAGTGCCTCCCACTCCCGTCCATCCCTTGAGGTCTACGGACGACACTCGGGGGGGGGGGGGGTGGGGGGGGGTGGAGGCCTGGTCGATGCGCCATGAGGCAATGGAGAAACTATGCCGCGTGAGATCATCGCACGTTTGAAGAAAATGCTCGGTGACCAAATGAGGAGCTGTCGGTCGGTGGTGGCGGTGGTGGTGGTGGTGGCGGCGGTGGTGGTGGCGGTGGCGGCGGTGGTGGTGGTGGTGCCCGCGCGGGCGCCTCTAGACGCTGGGTGCGCCCGCCGCTCCCACGCTCTGACACCGCATTTTATCATGGGATGAAATAGTCCCCATCATCATCCCCATCATCATCATCGTCACCATGTAGGATACATTTATTCGTTCGTTCGTTTCTCGGTCCGCTCGTCCTGGTGAGGGTCGTAGCAGCAGCAGCAGCAGCGTGTTGATTAGTGGCGGTCCACACCTCCCTTTTCCTGGCAGCAGACTAGCACTACTACACCATACACCACTATACACTACACTATACACTACTACACTATACACTACTACACTATACACTACTACACCATACACTATTATACACTACACTATACACTACTACACTATACACCACTACACCATATACTACACTACTTTACACCACTACTTTACACTACACTACTATACACTACACTATATACTACACACTGGGCTCTATGGAGGCCCGTCGTTAAGTGATTAGTCCTTAACAGGGGTGGTCGTTCAGAAGGGTTCTCCTGTATGTATATATATATACACATGGTAAAGGTGTAGCCTTGCAATGGCTTGCTCATGCCAGTGCTGGCAAAAGGGGCCTCCACTCCAAAGAGAGTTCTATAGAAGCCCCTCTATAGAGGGTATTTGGCCTACTCTTCCACGCTGGCCAGACGTCTTGGAAGAGGTGAGAGTACCAACATTTTGCCACACCGCACGCGACCTGTCTATGGACTAAGTGTGGTGTACCGGCGATCTTTAGGCTGCAGCAAACATAGATATACACAGGGTGTGTACTTGTGAGTGTGTGTAGTATTGTTTATAGTATTGCGCATACAATTGGCCAAATATCCCAATGCAGCCCCCTCCTGAACATAGTCTGAGACTCCGTAAGGGTTTCCTGGATAAATACATTTCAATCAATGTTCTTCAATATTACAATCGATCAGTATTCCGCACTAAATGGGGCGAAATACTGCACCCGCCAACGCCAGGCTGCTGTTTCGTCAACTCTTTCACCGCAATTTTTTATTTTCAACGCCAAAATCGCGTACACCCCTCCACCACCACCACCACGTACGTGAGAGTTTTCTGTCGCGGGAAGGTCGATCCATTGCCGTACCATGCGGTGGGGGGAGGAATGTGGGGGGGGGGGGGCCCTCCCAGGGGGGCCCTCTCAGTTGAGGCCCCTCCCGAAGGTGAAGCCAAATCTGAGTAAACAAAGCGAACAAGCATTGGGTGGCTGGTGGTTCAAATGTTTGGTGGGGGAGTCGTGGAGTGCGAGATGTTATCTACCTCGACTGGTATACAGGAGGCCGTGGGTTCGATCCCAACCCTGACGCCTGTATATTTGGAGTTTCCGTGTTCTCCCCGTGGTCGCGTAGATTTTTCTCCGGGTCCTCCGGCTTTTTCCCTCCACATTTAGAATCAACAACATCATGCGTTTTAGAGTTTTTGGCTGCTATACATTTCAACATGATGAAAAGCCACTTGGTTGAGCTGTCATTTGCGGCCCGGTCCCTACATCATGAGTGCAATGGCTACCCGAGTATCTGAGTGACGTTTCAGTGCTCGCATCGGGGGTTGACCGAGTGAGTCGGTGGACGTCCCCGAAGGATTTCTGAAAATGTTGCCGGGGAAGGTTTGCAGAGGGCCGCAGCGGCGTCACTCCCGCGGCCCACGGAGGTTTGAGATTGACGACTGCGGACAACATGTTCGAAACGGCAGCGTCTGCCGTGCGACGTTCTGACCGCGGTTCAATGTGGGGCCATTGCGTGAGGCCAGAAGGGGCCCTAAGCTCGCGGTACGTGCCTCGAGAGCCATTTGAAATGGGAGGTTTCTACTGTCGCGTGTGCCTGGTGCGGGGTGTGCAAACACCGGCGATGTTTGCGTCTCGTATATGGCAGGAGTGCGGCTGCGACTTTCGTGGCTTGGCGGAGCCAGGCACTATTGACTTTTCCTGTTCAATGAAACGTGGAATGGTGCTTTCTGGGTCACATCGCCAGGTATACGATGACGTTATACGACCATGTTACCCGTCCTGTTTGACACCATTTATTGGACTGTCTGGCACACAAATATTGGCTCGGCTGGGACCATCATTGTACCCGTGTAAGTACACACGGCGAGATTTCTAATTAACCTTTACTTTTTTAGCGTGGGTTGTTTCGTCCACGCTTTGACCAAATCACCTGCAATGCGCCCGTCCGCGTCAGATCTCAGAAGCTCAGCAGGCTTGTGCCCGCACAGCGCTCGGTTGGGTGACCACCGTGGCTAGGTTTGTGGGGCACCGGAGGGCAGTGCAGCAGAACCCATCGTTGTGCTGCACTCCTAGGCTACCGAGTCTGTGCTCCCCACCTTCACCAACCGGCACATACAAGCATGGTGAAGTATAGTCACCCTCTTGACCTTGCATGGTGTGAGGAGGAGCACATTCAGCCGTGGGATTGCCAGAAGGGGCCGTACATGTGCATGTACGTACGCACGTATGTTGAAATTATTTCGCACCGTGCGTAGCCAACCGTGCTAATTGGAGGTGCGGGGAAGGACAACAAACCAAACATAAAAAGCAGTTCTAAAGAAATGAGCTTTCAATATAGATTTAAAAGAACATAGCTCCAGTGGCTTCTGAATATCAGAAGGAAGAGCGTTCCAGACGGTCGCAGAAGCACGTCTGAAAGCGCGCTATGCGGTGGCCGTGTTTGTTCGACGGACAGCGAAAAGCTGCCGCTGCTGCGAGGATGACCACTGGAGTTCACATGATGATGGCTTATGCTCCTTGGCGGGACCAGCGCGCGTCACTTGCACGCACAGCCACACTTCCCATGCAGCCTCTACCCCATTCTCCTCGCTAAATGTTAGCCCGCACATTCCTGCCAGAGAACCGTAGCACATGCCGTTGATGCCGGTCCACCCGGCTGCGATCCATCACGCGGTGCCGTGTTCGAGGAGTGGCCCTTGGCGAGAGCATCAGACCGCAACTTTGCCGACGAGACTCAGAGATGTGGAAACCGCTTCGGAGTTTGACCGCTTTTCAAGTTTAGTTTTTCGCAATTTCACCGTAGGTTTAAAACGACACTTGCGCACAAGTGTGCTCAGTTGTCCTTACCCCGTACCTCCGATTAGCGCGGTTGGCTACGTACGATGCAAAAAAGAACCTCAACATATGTGCGTACATACAGTATACAGGCTTGAGTTAAAGCTATCGTGACTGCAGGAATTCATATTCTTTGAGTCTTTCGGTAAAGTCAAGTAGATAGGTTCAAATAAAATAACAAAAATAACAAAAAACTACGACGTTTCGATCGCTTGTGTTGCAATCGAAACGTCGTAGTTTTTTGTTATTTTGTTTGAACCTATGTGACTTTACTGTAAGACCTAAATAATAGTTTACAGCCTCTAAACGTGTGCAAAACCCATTAGCATTGACATAGAGGCTGTGTGCTTTGTGTACTCGTGCCTGTGCGTTGTTTGAACTTGGTCGTGAAAACTGAATCTTGATCGTGAAAACGTAACATGCCATTGTGCCCAAAGGAGAAAGATTGTAATCAATGCGTGCTCCCTGTTATGAAAATATGGATCAGAATCGTGGAACGAAGAAAATGAAAAACAGAAATTGGAACAAAACTTGGAAACGTGCACAAAGAAAGATGGGTAGCAGAAGAAGCACGGTGCATGCTGGGAATCAGATGGAGAGACGTAAAGAGTAGCACGTGCTAGGGTGGCACGTGTTAGAGAGAACATCGGCAGGTCACAGACACCTTCCTGACTTGAAACACTAAAGGGCGCTTGGCCAGGACACGTCATTAAAAGGGACGATGGCCGGCAATTGAGACTCATAATGGGAGTGGCGGCCAAGAGTGGGAACATGCCTCAGAGGACATCCACCACGGAGATGGAGCGATGAAATCAGATTGTGTGCATCGGGTGGATGGCTAGATCGTGGGCACAGTTTTAGGCGGCGACGGCTTGCGGAGGCCTTCATCCAGCAGTAGACTGATCGTGGCCGTTGGCGAGCGATTGGACGTCACGGGACACGTGACGTCTTGTGATATTGTTGCGTCTAACTAAACGATTCAGAACCACTGCTCTGTTCGTCCCTGGACACATTGTGTCTGTGTGTGTGCCTCTCCGCGTGTGTGTGTGTGCCTCTCCGTGTGTGTGTGGGTTTTCGTGCGTGCAGCAGCGGTTATGGTGCTGCGCGACGAATTTGGCGACCCGAGTTCGATTCCCGCTCATGGCCAATGCCATTGACGATTATCTGAACCGGTCCTGGGCCTCCCCTAGGTCAACTCAGCTTCAAATGAGTACCTGATGTGGTGTGTAGTAAACATCGTCACTAGGGCCACCCACCCCCTCGTGTGCCGTACCGGCCTTCATGTATGCACGTATGTATGTTAAACTTGTTTCGCACCGTACGTAGCCCACCGTTCTAATTGGAGGTGCTACTCGCCAACAACGCTCGCCCCAACGGCCTGCCAAAGCTAAACCGAGGGATGATCTTTTGTGTTGCGTGGCGCCACAGACAGCAAGGCCATCGTGGACGGGAACCTGAAGCTGATCCTGGGCATGGTGTGGACGCTCATCCTGCACTACTCCATCTCCATGCCCATGTGGGACGACGAGGACGAGGAGGAGATGAAGAAGCAGACGCCCAAGCAGCGCCTGCTGGGCTGGATCCAGAACAAGCTGCCCGACGTCCCCGTCACCAACTTCAGCCGGGACTGGCAGGACGGCCGGGCCCTGGGGGCGCTCGTCGACAGCTGCGCGCCAGGTGACTCGTCGGTCGCTCGGGCGCCGACCCAGGCCTGGCGCTGCCGACGTGACGGAGAGTCGGCACCAACGGCCGTCCCTCGGTCAAGCCCAGACGGGAACCGTGGCGGGAACGGCCACGGTTGCGTCAAGGTGGCGAGGAGATGTTAACTACATCGCCTGGTATATAGGAGGTCGTGGGTTCGATCCCGACCCTGACGCCTGCTGTATATTTGCAGTTTGCGTGTCTCTCTATCATCATCATCATCATGGTGGCGAGGAGATGTTAACTACCTCGCCTGGTATACAGGAGGTCGTGGGTTCGATCCCGACGCTGATGCCTGCTGTATATTTGGAGTTTGCATGTCTCTCTATCATCATCAGCATCACGGTGGCGAGGAGATGTTAGCTACCTCGCCTGGTATACAGGAGGTCGTGGGTTCGATCCCGACCCTGACGCCTGCTGTATATTTGGAGTTTGCGTGTCTCTCTGTCATCATCAGCATCACGGTGGCTAGGAGATGTTAACTACCTCGCCTGGTATACAGGAGGTCGGCCTAAACGATCAACTCATTGCACACGATAATCTCTGTATGTATGTATGTTGAACTTCTTTCGCACCATACGTAGACAAACGTGCTAACCAGAGGTGCGAGGAAAAGACAACAAACTAAACTCAAAAAGCACTTCTAAAAAAAAATAGTTGCTCATCTGGATGATTTAAAAGTGCGCAACTCGAGTGGCTTCCTAATATCGGACGGAAAATCATTCCAGACGGCTGCAGAAGCGCATCTTAAAGCGCGCGATGCAGTGACCATCTTTCTTAATCGCAGGCAGCTGAAACCTGGATTTGGAACCAGTGTGTCTGTGACGCTGACTCATACATGAACATAGGACCCATAGACTAACTTAGGACGCAGAGGCTCTTGTTCGTTTCTCATTCATCACACAAACATGCATCTCTCGCCCTCTCTGTGGCCTTAGCTCGGTGAGACACTCCAGTCGCCTACATGGGGCCAGATGGGTCACGTGGGCTCACTGCGAGACAAGCCGCGTCTCGCAGCAGCTGCGCAACCGGACTGAGTTGGTCGACTGCGCGGGTTTGTGCCTTTCAGGCCTCTGCCCGGACTGGGAGACGTGGGACCCCAGCAGGCCGGTGGAGAACGCCCGTGAAGCGATGCAGCAGGCCGACGATTGGCTGGGAGTCGCTCAGGTGACCCATGCTGCCCCCTCCACCAACGCCGTCCTCATCAGAGAGATGCGGCTTTGATATCGGCTCGTTGCGCAGGGGGGGTGAATGGATTGGTCACATCGCGGGGCTGTGAGCGATGGCAACGGCGTGGGGAGGCCTTCATCCAGCAGTGGACAATGGCTGATGAAGATGGTTACATCAGAATAATAAATACAGTATTATAAATTATCCACAGGCAGTTGGATTATACCAGATCAAAGCAGCTATGATTATTTTCAATTCTGTTTTGTATGTAAATTTGAAGTGCGCTTTGACAAAACGATTTCAGTAATTTATTCAGTCCACCACTGCTGTGTAAAATTCGACACCGGGAAGACAAAGGCGGCCGGGGGTGCTGACTACACCACCACCACGTAGGCGTTCGGGAACAGCGCTTGTCCTCCTCACAGCCTGCGTAGGCTATCCGGGGAGAGAGGGGATCTTTGTCCCATCTTTGTCTCTGCGTGCCTCGTGTAGGTTATCGCTCCGGAGGAGATCGTGGACCCAAATGTGGACGAGCACTCGGTCATGACCTACCTGTCGCAGTTCCCCAAGGCCAAGCTCAAGACCGGGGCGCCCCTCCGCCCCAAGCTCAACCCCAAGCGCGCTCGGGCCTATGGACCAGGTGATGCGCACTGTGGAGAGATGGGTGATATCAACCTCACCTGGTGTCCAGGAAGTCGTGGGTTCGATTCCCGACCCCGACGCTTGCTGTACATCTGAAGTTTGCGTGTTCTCCCCGTGGTCGCATGGATTTTCCTCCGGGTCCTCCGGTTTTTCCCTTCACATTTAGAATCAACATCACGCATTTTAGAGTGTTTGGCAGCTATAAATGTGCACGTGATGAGCCACTTCGTTGAGCTATCATTTGTGGCCAGGTCACTTCTGAAGAAGAGCTACACAGCTCAGTGGGGCCTTGCCTGGTGAAATAAAAATAGTTGAATGCACCGCGATGCGGGCAAGGCGGCGGCAGCGGTGGTGCCTCGAAATCCAGAGCTCCTTAAGTGAGGGTGGGTGGATCGCGTAACGATCTGCTGAGAGATATTCCCCAGCAGGCTCTCATCGGAGCATTAGCTCGGCTCAAATCCTCCTGAGCTTCCAAGGTCTGAGCAGGTTGGGCGGACTCAGGGCGAGTTGGCCGCAGGCGAGTGCTGTTGGTGTGGGTGGTGAGCCGAGTGATGGTGCATGTCTCAAGTGCAAGTGCGGGCAGGTGTTAATGGTGGAGCTGAGTGTGACATTTAAGTTTATCTGTGCATGCGTGCGCTTGGGTGCGTGCATTGTACATGTGTATACACGTGTGTGTGTGTGTGACTGCGTACCTAGGGAGCAATAGCACAGTGATTCATGCACTCTGTGATCCATGTCCGATTCAAAGCACAAGCAAGCGGAATCTTAGCCTATCCTGAGCCTGCCATAGGTCGACTCAGCCTTACACGAACACCTCTTAGGCATTAGCACTGGGGAAACAAACACGGCTGGGCGTCGTTTTTTCAACTCCACCCTTTTTGATTCCCACGCTGGCCTTGATAGGTGCTCGCTAACAGCAACTTGCTCCTTGGGATCTGTACTGTGAATGGGGGGTGGGGATCTTTGTCTGTGTGGCTGTGTGCGGTAGCGTAGCGGTTAGCGCTACGAACCCCGTGACCCGAGTTCAACTCCCACTCGTGGCCAACACCAGTGACGAATATCTGAACCGGTCCTGGGCCTTTCCTAGGTCTACTCAGCCTCAAATGAGTATCTGATGTGGTGTGCAAACATCGCCACTGGGGAGACAAAGGTACTCGCTAACAGCACTTGCCCCACCAGTCTGTTAAGGCTATATGGGGGATCTTTATCTTTTTGTGACAGGCGTGGAGCCCAACGGCAACTACGTGATGCGGGCGGCCCACTTCACGGTGGAGACCATCAGTGCCGGCTCGGGAGAGGTCCTCGTCTACGTCGAGGATCCGGAGGGACACAAGGAGGAGGTGACCAACTTCAGTCGCTCCACGCCACCGCGCCGCCAGAAAACGACAGCCGCGTACCGATTTGGCGATTTAACCTCCCGTGCCACCTCGTTACAATCCTGCATTTTACACGAGCCCCCCCCCCCCCACCCACTGACGCTTTGCCTTGTTAACCTTCACGCGCGTTTCTCTTTGCTTTTCAAGGCCAAAGTAACGACGAACAACGACAAGAACAGGACGTTTTCCGTCGTCTACTTCCCCAGGGTGGCCGGGCCTCATAAGGTAAACAAACGGGGGACGGGTGGGGGGGAGATTTAGCCCGAGGGATCACCGCTCGTGTCGAGAATGCAAAACACGAGTTGACCGTGGTAAGATCACCCGGGAAATGCATCCGATCCCACCGGGCCTCAGAAGAGTCGGCACACGTTCATCGGACGCACTTGTGTGTGGCCTTCGAAGGGCGGTACACGGTAAGGCGACGTTACGGGCAGTGGCCCCTTAAGAGCCACTGCCAAAAGCATCACCATATTTATACAGGTTTCCCGCCCCCCCTCGCTTTACGCGGTAGTAGATGCGTTTCTCAAAAACAAAAAAAGGGCGTGCAGAGCGAAGTCACATCGCGTGGGCCGCACGGTCACCCGACCCACAATGCACCACACGAGGAGACCAGCTGTCTGCCAAGTAGCACACACACAGTACACACTGCTTTGCGACGTCCGACCGCATATCCACACTAAAACCGCCTAATAAGAGTGATTTTTGGTTAGAAATCGGTTAGCCACGTAAGCAGCGTGAAATTGCACAAACAGAACCCGCGTAAAGCGTGGGAAACTTGGATATACGGTACCTTTTAAGGCCAGTGTTACTTGTGCTTGCATATCACTGTTGCCAATGCAGCAGCAGCATCACCAGATGGCGCTTGGATAGGGTGACCACCACGCACACACCATGGGTGTCTTAGGACTTGCGGGGACTACATTGTTTAAGCAAGATCCATTATTGTACTGTACTTCTGCGCTTGCACATCTATGCTCCTCGCACTGACCGGCAGGGTGAATTATGGTCAAACATTCTAGATTTACAGTTTTCGTGACTACAAGGATCCATACTCTTTGGTTGTTTCGGTAAAGTCATGTAGGTGAAAAAAATATATAATAATAATTAATTAAATCACGACGTTTCGATTGCAACACAAGCAATCATCATCAGGTGTGACAACCACAGCAATAATTTTACTGAAGTGAAATTCAGCAAGAAATTTTACTGAAGTGAAATTCAGTAAAATTTCTTGCTGTGGTTGTCACATCTGATGACGATTGCTTGTGTTGCAATCGAAACGTCGTGATTTAATTTATTTACTTCTATTTTTCCACCTACGTGAATTTACCGAAAGAACCAAAGAGTATGTTCAAAGAACCCCCGCCACCCGCACGGCGTGTGGAGGCCCTCATCCAGCAGTGGAGTGTCAAAGGTCTGAAAGCCGTATGGATCTCGGGTGTTGATGGCGAGAAGGGGGTGGAGCGGTGGCCCATTGCTCACCACCCCGCACTGAGAGCCCGGCGACGGCCTCAGTTGGATTACCTCCTCGCGGCCACCAACACAATTAACCGAACCGGTCCTAGGCCTCGCCTAGGTCGGCTCAGCCTTCAACGAGTACCTGGCGCCGTGGGTAACCGCCGTCATCACCGGGGGAGATGAAGGTGGCCGCGATGGTGCTGGGCCACGCCACGCACCCGTGCGCCGGGCGCGAACTTGAGGGGTGCTCGCGAATAGGAGGGGCCGATCCTCGCGCTGTCTGTGCGTGTCCCGTGTCCGCTAGGTCACGGTGCTATTTGCAGGACAGCACATCAACAAGAGCCCGTTTGAGGTGGAGGTAGCGATGCCCCAAGGGGACCCGGCCAAGGTGACGGCGCGGGGCCCGGGGCTGGAACCCACGGGGAACATTGCCAACAAGACGACCTACTTCGACATCTTCACGGCCGGTGGGAGTTTACATTGCTGCTCTGCCGGCGTGTGGTCCGAGTTGTCGCTGCTGCTGTTGCTGCTGCGAGAGAACACATTTAGCTCCAGAACATCTTGCGTACACGCAAGAGTAGAATAGAATTCACTCATTAATCAGGAGTCTACCGAGACTAGCGGTCTCTTTCACGAACTCATTCACTCGTCGATTCGTTCTCATTCATTTGCAACTGGACCGTGGTTGGACGTGCGGATCGCCGGTATCGGTTCCGTCTTTGCCACATGCACACGCGCACACACGCGCACACACACACGCACACACGCAGCGTTGTGATGCTGCTGCTTTTGCTGTTGCGCCGCTGCCGCTGCCAGGCGCGGGTGTGGGCGACGCGCACGTGGAGGTGGTGGACCCAAGCGGGCAGAAGGACTCGGTGGAGGTGACGGTGGAGGAGAAGGGGGAGAGCGTGTACCGCTGCACCTACCGCCCGCTGCTGGAGGGCACGCACACCATCCACGTGTACTTCTGTGCCGGCCCCATTCCCCGCAGCCCCTACTCCGTGCTCATTGGGGAAGGTAGGCACTTCCCGTTTGCCACTGCTGCTTCCACTGCTGCTGCTGCTGCTGCTACTGCTACTTTTACTTCGACTGCTCCTACTGTTGTTGCTGTTGCTTATACTGTTACTGCTCAACACGTAAGAGGCTTTCGCAACCAATATCATCCATAATCGAGGTTTGTTGGGTTAGATCACGTAAATATATCAATGTGTCGTTAAACCCGCCACCACCCGGCACAACCAATTTGCTCGTAACGAAAAGGCACGTTCTGTTTATGTGACAAACCTTTCGAATTGGCTGTGTCGGGTGGTGACGGGTTTAACGACACATTTATACATTTGCGTGCTCTAACCCAACAAACCTGTGTTATGGACTGTTACTGCTGTTGTTGCGGCCACTGCTCCTGCTGCTGATGATGCTGACAATGCTTCTACTGCTCCCGCTGCTGCTGCTGTCCTCCGCGCTCCCACACACCCATGGGATTTTCTCACAGCTCCTCACCTAACTTTGCCGTCTCCCTCTTCTCTCTCTCCGCTGCTGTCGGGGATAGAGAGACGCTCGCGTCGCTGTCTCTCTCTCCCGCCCTGGATGTGTCCCGTCGGCGCCTCTCTCCTCCGCCAGGGCTCTTTCTTGCCACCTCCGCTGAGCCGCTCTCTGTGCCTGGGCTCTGACCTTTCCACTCGCTCCTCTTCCTCCGTCGGGCACTCTCGAGTAGACTAACGTAAGTGACTCGGGTGGTGCAAATTGTGTTTTAAACAGTGAGAGTTTGGCGTGCAGCGGCGAATTCCATTCCCGACCTCGGCTAGCAGCGGTGGCGGGTGATATTCCAACCGATTCTGGGCCTCCCCTAGGTCAATTCGGCCTTAAATGGGCACCTGGTGTGGCATGCAAACATCAGCACCGGGGAGTATGGAGGCGGCCGGGCGGGCGTGATACTTGGTCACACAACCCCCCTTGTGCGCCATTGGCTCTCCTCAATAGGTGCTCGCAAACAGCCCCAAGCGGTCTGCTCAGGGCCGCACGGGGTGGTACCGCGGTCAGGTGGTCGAGCGTTTGCCACCTGTAGCAGGAGGTTGAAGGTTCGAACCCGGTAGCCGAACCTGGTTAATACCGCAGGTGTATTCACAGTGGACTTTAAAGATCCCGTGACAAATTTTTATTTTATTATTAAAAGCAGGTCAAGTGTGCCGGTCTCGTGGTCCAGATTTTCCGAAGTTTGATGAATTGTTCGCAAATTACTGAATTGGAAAGCCAGATAATAACATCGTTGGGGGGTGGGGGATCTTTGTATTTGTGTGTGCGTGCGTCTGCGTTGGGGCAGCATGCAACCCCCTGGCATGCAGAGCTGTTGGACGGGGCCTGCAGCCCAAGGGGGTCCGAGTGAAGGAGGTGGCGGAGTTCAAGGTTCACACGAAGGGGGCGGGCAGCGGCGACCTCAAGGTCACCATCAAGGGCCCCAGTGAGTGACAGCACGACACAAGGAGGTGGTGGAGGGGGGGTGTCACGACACCGGTGGGGGGGTGGCACGAAACGTGGGGGGGGCATCACGGGGGGCGGGGGAGGGGCCGTGCAATATTGCCAGAGTCTACAACCCAGAGGGAAGTAAAGGTAGCTGCATCTGCTGCATTCCAGCTCTCTTTCGATGGTGGTGGCGATGACATTGACAAAGGGGAGTGGTGGTATAGCGGTTAGCGCGCCGCTCTACGAACCCGGCGACCGGACTTCCATTCCCGCTCTCATGGCCAACACCAGCGACGATTATCTGAATCACCAGCGACGATTATCTGAATGGGCCTCTGCCTGGGTTGTTGACTCAGCCTCAAATGAGCACCTGGTGCGGTGTGCAGTAAACATCGGCCACTGGGGAGACAAAGGCGGCCTGGCGTGGTGCTGGTCAACCACCCCCTCGTGTGCCATGCCGGCCTTTATACATGCTCACGAACAGCACTTGCACCAAAAAGTCTGCGAAGGCTATATGGGGGGGGGGGGGAGGGGGGGTCATTATTGTCCCGATGACATTGACAGTATTGATGGCGAGAATGATGCGACGGTGGTGACGTTGGTGACGACGGCGGCGTGTGTTTGTGACAGAGGGGGGAGAGGAGGTGGTGAAGCAGAAGGACCTTGGCGACGGCGTGTTCGGCTTCGAGTACTACCCGACGACCGTCGGCAAGTACACCATCACCGTCACCTGGGGCAACCAGAGCATCCCACGCAGGTGAGGGCCGAGCACCACGGGGTGCCCCAGACGCGAGGCTACTGGAAGGGAGCTTAGACTATGAAAACTATGGGTTTCATAGTTTTTTTATGTGCTTACAATTTTTTCATTTCGGGTACTGATACAGAAGGTGGAAAAATTGTATGTTGCCGAGTTACGAGAGAACAGCGTTGAGAGCGTGGCAGCAGTGAGCATATTGGCACAAGTAGGGAAACGAGGAGCCAGCGATGATGAGAGGCCGTATTTTATCAGTGCGAGTCGAATCGGCATTCAGGCAGACAACTCACACTGACCTCATTTACATCAACAGAGTTCGGATCGCTTGGTGGAACGTTGACATATACCAGACTATCAAATAAAGTTTTACTTTCTGGCTGGCTGGTTGGCAGGACGTCATGTCCGTCAGGAGGGAGGCAGGAAGGGATGGTGCGTGCTTGCTAGTCTATACAGAAAAGCAAAACGAAAATGACTTTGGCCATGCCTGCGTGCGTGCGTGTTTGTCGGTGTTCCGTCGTCGTAGCCCGTTCGAGGTTATGGTGGGCAACCCGGCGGGACCGCAGAAGGTCCGTGCGTGGGGGCCGGGCCTGGAGACGGGAGTCGTTGGCAAAGCGGCCAACTTTGTGGTGGAGGCCGTGGGTGGCGACGTCGGCACCCTCGGTGAGTTTGTGTTTTTTCGACGCTGCCGCTATTCCTAAACAAACAAACAAAAGGTCGCATGAAGTTTGGTCTTGCACATAATTTGGCTGCATTCCAACTCCGATTTAAAAACATATATATAGTGTTTGACTGTCATGCATAGTAGTGGGAGAAGTGGAAAAGTGCTGCCCCTGACTGCTGTGTGGACCAGAGGTCACTTGAAGGGATTTCAGCAGTAGTTCTTTGATACCCGCTTCCTCGGGCCGTGCTCTAACACAAGAGGGATGCACTGCTCTGAAGTCGCACAGAATTGATTCGTCACTGCGTGACGTTACGCCGATTATGCAATCTGAATAAAATGTAAGAAACATTTTTTTTAAAATATGAATTTAAGAAATTGCTCTATGTATTATTGGGTTGGACCGTGACCTTCCACAACGGCTCGTGACGAGCCCAACACCGGGCGGTCGCTTGCCCGGTCGGCAAAACGGCACCGCGATGGATGTAGCGACCGGTGCCGTTGATCTCTCTCTATTGTGGGGCCGGTGACCAGGCCGAGCAACCAAATCCTCGTCCGCAAAATTAGCCGAGCGTTGCCGACGTAGCCGGATCCTCTCGAAAATGAGTCTCTTGAGGCTCGGCGAAGTTTTCTCGGATGAACAAATGGAACGGCACCAGCCCCCGCTTGCCTCTCCCCCCGCACCACCTACTAGGACGGCGCTGTAACAGAGCAATGAAATCGGACACCCGACAAAATCACCGATCACAAATTTGCCCCCACCCCCCCATATATGGAAGAGAGTAGGCGTGGCGTTGGCCGAAGGTGCATTTGTCTTTGCCCATATATAATGGGGTCTTTGTGGATCGTGAATCGAGGTTTTATCGTATCGATTCGGCTCGGTCGATCTGCCAGTCACTAAAAGTTAATCGGCCAGCCTCCTTGAAAACTGTCGATTCATTGGCAATGTATTAATTGGCAAGCAAACTGAAATCGAGCAGTCGCGTAACACACACCTCCTTAATTTGATTGGCCGATATCAACAAGATTCTGTCGCAGTCCGCTTCCATTGCACTGCAGTGCACACTTCACCCGACGCCAGCGGCATTGGCGGGAGCCCCCCCTCCCTTCCCCATTCCACGCCGTCGCAAACTCTCCGGCGTTGACAAAACCGGGCGGTCGGCGTCACCGCGGCGTCAGGGTTCTCCATCGAGGGCCCGTCCCAGGCGCGGATCGAGTGCGACGACCGCGGCGACGGCTCGTGCGACGTCCGCTACTGGCCCACGGAGCCCGGCGCGTACGCCGTGCACGTGCTGTGCGACGAGGAGGACATCCTGGAGAGCCCCTTCATGGCCGAGATCCAGGCCGCACAGCCCGAGCACCACCCCGAGCTGGTGCGTGCGAGCGCGCGTGTGTGTGTCTGTGAGCGTGCGTGCGTACGTGTGTGTGAGCGTGTGTGCGTGTGTGTCTGTGAGCATGCGTGCGTGTCTGTGAGCATGCGTGCGTACGTGTGTGTGAGCGAGCACGCGTACGTGTGAGCGTGCGTACGTGTGTGTCTGCGAGCATGCGTACGTGTGTGTGTCTGCGAGCATGCGTGCGTACGTGTGTGAGTGAGCGTGCGCGTGTGCACGTGTGCATGCTACTTGGGAGCAGTTAGAGCTCTGCGCTACAAACCCGGTGATGCAAGTTCGATTCACGCTCACGGCCAAACCAATCTGAAGGACAACAAACTAAACACAAAAAGCATTTTTTATGAAATGAATTTAAAGGTGCATAGCTCCAGTGGCTTAATAATATCGGAAGGAAGAGCGTCCTGAAAGCGCGTGATGCGGTGGCCATCTTTGTTCGACGACGAGCCAAAAGCCGCCGCTGCGAGTGCGACCGTAGTTCGCGTGGTGCGATGGTTTGTGTGCAGCAGGCGTCAGCGTCGCCGTCTTACCTCTGCCTCCCCGCCCCCCCGGTTCCAGGTGAAAGCGTTTGGGCCGGGACTGGAGCCCGACGGAAACATGATCAACAAGCAGAGCAACTTCACCGTGGACGCCAAGACCGGGGGACCAGGCGCTCTGAAGATCTACGCCCAGGTGAGGCCTCCCGACCCACGTTGCCCCACGGGTGGGTTGAGGGGAGCGCGGCGCTCGTGTTTTGAAGGCGCCGCGTCGCGCCGCATTCCGTTACGGGCGTCTCTTGACTCGCCATGGCGGGCTGCGCTGAAGAGTCGTAAGCGGAGACTGTTGATTTGGATCCAAGGTCACGAGGTCATCACGGCGAGGTGCCACCGATGCCGCCACAGCTCCTGAGTGCTTCATCCTGCTGTAGCTCACGCAGTTCTCGCAAAGTCGACTCTCAACCTCCAAGAACCATAATAACGAATGTTTTTGCATGAGATCGCGTGAATATAAATGTGTCATTAACTCGCCACTACCCGACACAGCCGATTAGTAAGGTTTTTCACGTTAACAAAACGTGCCAATTAGTTACTGCTTCAGCACACCGGTGTGTTGGAGAGTAAACCCATAGCATTTACAATGTGAGTACTGTAGCGTTTCGCTGGTGATTACAACTAGCTTCATCAGCCGATTCGCCCAGAATTCTGGCAAATCGCCTGATGAAGCTAGTCGGCTGGTGGTGGGTGAACAACTAATTTATATTCACGCGATCTAGTATTGGTCACGTGTTAAACTCCAAGAACCACTCTCATAGTCTCATCGCCACCTCCACACCTGGCCTTCACGTCTTCCGCTTGGTGGTCATCATCCAGGCGCCACGGTAACATCCGTCTCCATAGCTCGCCACTTGCTGTCGACGTTCAAACGTAAATACCGCGATGGCTTTGAAACTTCGGTCACGCGTGACCAATGTGCGTGCGCACGAGACTGAACAATTTGCGGGACCACCCTCGTGTTCCCCCGGCCCCCACGCTTCTGTCGCAGGACGCGGAGGGCCTGCCGATCGAGGTCCAGTCGAAGGACAACCACGACGGGACCTTCTCGTGCAGCTACATGCCCCGGCGGTCCATCAAGCACACGCTCATCCCCACCTGGGCTGACGTCAGCGTGCCGCTCAGCCCCTTCAGGGTTCGCCTTCCACTGCCTCCCACTGCAGCCAGGGGCCGGACTAATCCACAGGCTGATGAGGCCTGACTGAGGCCCTCCATTGCGTGTTAAAGTAACGGCTGAGCGACGGTAGCGTGGCCATTGGGAAATGCCTCGTCTTTGAATTCTGATTCAGAATCTTTATTTAGACTGGGGGAGGATTCTGATGAGCTATGAAGATATTTTTCACGGATGTCCAGTAGGGGCGGGTCAGGGAGTTACAAATACAAACAATATGAAAAGAAAAAAAAACTGATAGGAGTGCAAAATGGAGAAAAGATAAACAAGTCGCGAAAAAATAAATAGATAAGGACAAATTGCATATACAATGACATCATTTATGACTATCCCACAGCCAAAGGCGACGAGAAATGATTTTGTTTGCTTGAAGAAATGAGTTGAGATTTTATATTTCATTATTTACCTTGAGTCGAATTTGCTTATTTTACAGAAATAAATATGTTAGAAGACTTTGTAATATTTTTTTGCAAAATGTAACATATACATAGGCCCTTCCCTCCTGTTAGCCTTAGGCCCGGAACGATGGCAGTGACAGAGAGAAAGTTACCGGAGTGAATCCGTGAGCAGAGGGAGTATCGATCAACCACGATGATGGATTCCGTCACGCAGCGTGGAGCCGGGCAGTGGTCAGCGACGTGGGGAGCGAGGGCCTCAATAACCTGGTGATGTGCGCCCACCCACGGCCCCCCAGGTGAATGTGGGCGAGGGCAGCCACCCGCAGAAGGTCAAGGTGTACGGCCCGGGCGTGGAGAAAACCGGCGTGAAGGCCAACCAGCCCACCTACTTCACCGTGGACTGCGGCCAAGCGGGCCAAGGTAAACGTAGAAACGTGCGTGGAAGATTGTTGAGATGACGTGGCTGCTACACGTGTCCACACGATGAGCCACTTTGTCCGAGCTATCGTTCGTGGCCAGGTGGTCGCTTCTGAGAAATAAGCTAATAGCTCAGTGGGGCTTTACCTGGTAAAATAAAAAATCTTGACTTAACTAAAGTTTTTGTGACTGCAGGAATTCATATTCTTTGGGTCTTTCGGTAAAGTCACGTAGATAGGTTCAAAGAAAATAACAAAAAACTATGATATTTCGACAAGCGGTCGTCATCAGGATGACGGCCGCTTGTGTCAATGCGATCGATCTTTGAACCTATCTACGTGACTTTACCGAAAGACCCAAAGAATTAAAAAAATATATATTTTTTTTATTTGTATATACTTTGAAGAGATTCGTTTATCTTTCCTACACTCCTGTCGTGTTTTTGTATTGTTTGCTGTTGGAACGTCCTGACCGCCTGCCCCTCCTGGACATCTGTGAAATAGAGCTTTATAGCTCATCGGATTCCTCCGGTATAAATAAATGCTCTGATTCAGAAATTATGGATAATCAAAAGTTAGGGGTGCAGCCCTGCAAGTACCTGCTCACGCCACTGCTGGCGCAAGGGGCCTCTGCTCCAGAGGGCCCTAGGCCGGTACCTCTCGGGGGTATTTTGTGTTGCTCTTCCTTGCCGGCGACACTTCTCGGGAGAGTACTCAGACTTGTCCCCACCAACATGCCACCTGCAGATTGACTAAGTGCGGTGTTACCCATCAATATAGTTGAGTGGATAGGGAGAAAATGTAAAGGAATCCTGCCCCGTTGTTTCAACGTGCTTTGATGAGGCCCAACTTAAAACCGGACAAAAACTATTATTGTATTTATTTGTTTTCCAGCTAGGGCCCCACGAGGCTATAAAGTAATTTTTCAGAAGCGACCTGGCGATCACAAATGATAGCGCAACGAAGTGGCTTATCACGCGGAAATTTATAGCAGCCATATACCAATCTAAACCGTTGACGTCGATTCTAAATGTGGAGGGGAAAATCCGGAGGACCCGGAGAAAATTCCACACGACCACGGGGAGAAAGAAATACGCAAACTCCGAATATACAGCTGGCTTCAGGGCCGGGATCACAACAACGACGTCCTGTATACCAGGCGAGGCAGTTGACATCTTGCCACCGTGGCACCCAAAAAAAAAAGGCGAAAGTGATGGGAAGTCTGTCACGTGCAACCGTTGCAGGCGACGTGAGCATCGGGATCAAGTGCGCCCCTGGGGTGGTGGGGGCGGCCGAGGCCGACATTCACTTCGACATCATCAAGAACGACAACGACACCTTCACCGTCAAGTATTCCCCGCCTGGCGCCGGCCGCTACACCATCATGGTGCTGTTTGCCGACCAGGTAAGCGATCGACCGGGGGGTAAAAAAGCTCACGCTGCGCGCTGTTGTAGAGGTCTTCTCTTGTATTTATAGAGGGCCTTCGAAGCTCACGGCGCTCCAGAACGTAGTTTAAAAGCGGCAATAGAAATGAGTGATTTTGACGGCAAGAGTGTGCTAGTAACCGAGGAATGAGTAACCGTTACAGAGGTCACGTGGGGGTCACGAAAGTGCTACAGGGGAGGTGTGGAGGAGTGAGGGGAGGGAAGAGGAAGGGAATGGCAAAGGCAATCGCTTGCTAAAGCCACTGTTGGAGGAAGGGAGCTCCGCTTGAGGGAGCTCTCGAGAGCCCCTACCGCTAGAGGGTATTTGGCCTACTCTTCCACGCTGACCAGACGTCTTGAATAGGTACGAGTACCCACACCTTACCCCACCGCACGCAACCTGCCGACCGGCTACCTGTGGTTGTACCCGCACCTTACCCATTTTATCCTGATGGGCGTGGGTAGAAGCGTGGGGATTTAAGAAACTTGCCCCATTGGTTGAGCTGCCACGCTGGGGGATGGGACCGTCGACCTCTGGATTTGTAGGTCCAGCGTGCGAACCGTCGTGCCACGGTCACAACGCTTTAGTGGAGGGCGGGGGTAAAAAAAGTTTTTTTGTAAATTTATAATAAAACAATGCGAAGTGTGATGGTGGACCGTGCGCTGCTGCGTTGGTTGGGGTTATTGACGACGACGGTCCTCGTGAGTCGGCCATGACTTCTGAACCCTTGTCGCGCGTCCCTCGGCCACAGGAAATCCCCGTGAGTCCATTCCGGATCCGCGTGGATCCGTCCCACGACGCCAGCAAGGTCAAGGCGGAGGGCCCGGGCCTCAGCAAGGCTGGTGAGGAATGAGGCGTGCTTGTGCTGATTAAAAACATATATATGTTTCGATGTAAAGCTTTCGTGACTGCAAGGCGCCCTTCCTCCCCTATCCCAGCTTAAATATACGCTGCCAAGCTTGGCGGTGTTCATTCAGACGCTGTCTTTCCGACAGCCCTGTTCTTCACCTGAGGACGGCTGCTTGCGTTGTGGCCGAAACGTCGTGAGAATTGTATTTTATTATGTTTTATTTTTATTATTTTATTATTTCCCTTCTACGTGACTTTACCGAAAGAACCAAGAAGACATATATGTTTGTCGGCCAAAGGCAGGCTAACGCGCCCTTGAGGGCACCCTTGAAAGGCGATGCGTTACGTGAAGCTCCTTGTGAGCAACCGTGGCAAGTTGTGGGCGAGTTGGACGAATGGCCGAGTGAGTGAAGTGCTATGTTGTAGGTGAGTGTGTGTCTCGGCACATGGGCGAGTGGGCGAGTGGGGGAACGGGCGAGTGGGCGAGTGGGTGGGTGAGCGCTGTGTTGCGGGCGCGCGAGCGAGTGGGCGAGCCACGTCGCCCTCACCGTCTTTGTAGGGTGTGTACACCATGGTGGAGATGATGGAGAGATGACAAGAGTTCTTCAAACCGCCTGTTCAGACTACACGGTGGGGTTGGGGATATCTGTGCGTGCGTGCGTGCGTGCGTGCGTGCGTGCGGGAGCAGGCGTGGAGACCGGCAAGCCCACTCACTTCACGGTGCACACCAAGGGTGCCGGGAAGGCCCCGCTGGACGTCCAGTTTTCGGGCCTGCCCGGCATCGCAGAGGAAGCCGTGTCGGACCTGCAGATCATCGACAATCACGACTACTCGCACACCGTGCGCTACACGCCCGTCCAGCAGGTGAGGAACCACCCCCCCCGCCCGCCCCCCCGCGTCGTTTTTTGGAGCCACGGCCGACCCCCGGTTAATGCCGCGGAGGTGCCGGCCGCGGTGCACGGTGGATGGTTCCAGATCCGCATTTTGGCCGGCGCCGTTGTCCAAATTGACAAAGATTTGAAATGTTACGCGATTCGGGAGAACGCCTTCGCGACCTCTCCTTTAGTACGTCTCCTGTAGATGCAGGGTGACAACCACAATTTCACAAATTAAAGGCAGTCAAGCCAGACAAGTGCGTCAGGAGCCAGTGGGGTGTAATCACCGTGACGTCCTCGGTATTTGTGGATCGGGCATCGCGTCGTCATACGTTGTACGGTCTTGTTCATCACAGTCACACACTACCGGAGAGTTTTTATATTTCCATTCGTGCATTCGGCTAACCACATCTGCTGCAATGGTTTCTGGAGTTTGGGGGCCATGAGCTTCGTGGAAGATCAAACCCTAGGGAGGTCTTCTGTTTTGGGTCTTTAACAAGAGAGAGCTTCGCGATATCCTTGTGCTACATGAACGGCGCCAACGACAACAAGTTAACGGCTGATTTGAGTTGATCACACGTTCGTGGTGCGCCGTCACGACCTGCGCCGGGGGCCCTTTAACGGAATCACCGGAACTCCCCCTTAATTTTACACGGGTCTCAAAAACTCGGCCATTATCACGCTCCGTCGGAGCAAAGCAACTCCCCAAAATCGCCCGCGGAACAAAATTCCGCACCGGGGAGCGATCGCCAAAGAGCCACAGTGGCATTTGCCGAGTGACTTCCAGCTCCTCCGTACATTGTCTCCCTTTCACCCCCAAGAGACAATGTGGCTCGGGTTTTAATTCAGCCCTTTGAGATCCAGCGGGACGGGGAGGGCAACCGCGTTGGTTCCGAGTCTTCGCGTCTCGAGAGCCGAATGTCTTGAAGAGCCGAATGGCTCACAGGGCTATACCTAATAAATGAACTTTGAACTTTGCGTCGAATGAGAGAGGCCGTGCGGGAGGTCGGGCTCCGTGGCTGCCGTGCGCTAACGGCGAGCGGTGCCGCGCGCTCCTCCGCAGGGAAACATGTCCGTCGGGGTCACGTACGGCGGAGACCACATCCCCAGAAGCCCCTTCCCCGTGGCTGTGGCTCCGCCGCTGGACCTCAGCAAGATCAAGATCGAAGGGCTGGACAACAGTAAGGGGAAACGTGCCTTCATTTATATATATTTATATAGTTATATATATTTTTATAGATGCTTTTTTTTTCCTTCTGAACGTTCACGTGTTAGTTTCGTCCGTCCGTCCGTCTGTAATGAGGCATCCACGATAACTCTCGTGAAGGTGATCAGAGATTAATTAAACTCGAGGACAAAGTTGTGTGTTCCTCCAACGTGAAGCCAAACACGCTGGGTGTGTGTGTGAATGTGCAGGTCACACCCCCCCCCCTCCCCCGTGTGTGCCGTGCCGGCCATTTGCTTTTTGCCCTCCGCCCCCTAAAAAAAGTTCTCGGGACTGTGCGGTCGGAACTCTCGTAGCAGCACGACGCTTCGTCTAAGAGAATGACCCACAGAAGCGGATATCACAGAGCTGCCTCCGGAGAAACCTTCAAGCGACCTCTGGTGCACACACAGCAGAGGGGCAGCCCTTTCCCACCCACTCTGCCGCACGAGAGCGACGTTCATTGCACGACAGTCAAGCTGATGTTTTATTTCTCAGGACCAAATTTAACGCGAGGTTTTTGTTTTTGTTTTTTGCGCATTCATCGAGCGACAACCTCAGCATACAGACATACATGAGCTAGTTTAACACGTAGGCTTTCGCGACCAATATTATTCATAATAAACGTTTTTGGGTTAGATCGCATTATTTATAAATGTATCATAACCCTCCACCACCCGACACGGCCAATCAGCAAAAAAGTGTCACGTTGACAAAAGTTCACTACTTTAGCCCACCGGTGTGTTGAAGAGTGAATCCACAACATTTACAATTTTTGAGTACGACGTTTTGCTGGTAATTACATCAAGCATCATCGGGCAATTCGCGATCTAACCCAAAAACGTTTATTATGAATACGTGAGCTACACGTATGTCTGTAGGAAGGACAAGAAACTGAACACAAAAAGCATTTCGCAATAAATTATTTTGTCAATCTAGATGACGATTTAAAAGTGCATATCCCGCAGTGGCTTCCTGATGTCGGAAGGAAGAGCGTTCCAGACGGCCGCAGAAGTGCACCCGAAAGCGCCGTGCGATGCGTTGAACCACCATCTTTGTTCCACGGCCAGCCAAAAGCCGCTGCTGCTGCTGCTGCTGCTGCGAGGAGATGACCGGAGTTGGCTTGACGATGGTTTAATGTTCCTTGACGAGATCAGCACAGTGGGGGGGGGGGGGAGGAGTGGTGGATTCTTTGTTTTTGTTGTGTTTGCCGCGTGCGTGGCGCCCCTCAGAAATGGAGGTGAACAAGGACCAGGAGCTGCGCGTGAATGCGCGGGGAGCGGGCGGCCAGGGCAAGCTGGAGGTGAAGGTGGCCTCTCCGCTGCGCAAGGCCGTGCCCTGCAAAGTGGAGCCCGGCCTCAACAGCGAGAGCTTCGTGGCCAAGTTCATCCCGCGCGAGGAGGGGCCGCACCGCATCGACCTCGTCTACGACGGGCACCCCGTGCCGGGCAGCCCCTTCACCATGGAGGCCCTGCTGCCCGCCAACCCAGACAGGGTACCCGTGGAATTTTTTTTTTAAATTAGGCACCAAATGACAGATTCATAAGACAAAAACCGCGAGCCGAGATCTGGCGTTTGAGAGATTTCCGGCAGGCTCTGAAAGTGTGGGTACGCCCAACACTTCAGTCCGACCGTCGCTATGCCACAACGGCCCCCGTTCCCACGAGCACCCGCCGATTGCCCCTCGGGACTGCCACACACACTGACCCTTGTGTTGTCTCTCCCCGCGCTCAACCGCCGCCACACCGCGGGTCGGAAAGCTGGTCTCTCTCTCTCTCCGCTCCTTTCCTCGCACTGCTCCACCATGGAAATTGCTGGCCCCCAATTAAAAAAAATATCTCACGCAGACCTCGTTGAATTTCTAGAAAGTTACCGACCCAGAACCATTTGCAGCTTTCGACGGCGCCGTCTGTCGTTGGCCGCTCGGCATTTGTGGCCTTGGGGGCCCGTACGTTCGGCAAAAACTGCGAAGCACGAAACGCTCGTCCCTTCGGACGCTCCCCGACTGACAACGGCGCTCCCCGTGTCACCGGTCGCTGCCCCCCCCCCCCGCCTGCCCCCCCGGTGCCGCCCCTCGCCAGGTGAAAGCTAGCGGCCCGGGCCTGAAGTCGGGGGAGGTGGGCAAACCCGCTCCTTCACCATCGACACCAAGGGCGCCGGCATGGGCGGCCTGGGCCTCACGGTCGAGGGTCCCTGCGAGGCGCAGCTCGAGTGCAGGGACAACGGCGACGGCACCTGCTCCGCCTCGTACCTGCCCACGATGCCCGGGGAGTACCTCGTCAACATCCTCTTCGCCGACAAACACATCCCCGGCTCGCCCTTCAAAGGTACCGCAGCCGCCCGCCCGCCGGGCCGGGATGGACTGCGCGCGTCGCGGGGATCGGCGGTGACGCGCCGGATCGGCGCTCGCGTCCGAGGGATGGGTGCGCTGCGCGAAGGGGTGCGAGCCGAATCGGTGTAAACGGAAGCGAGTGGTGGCCGGCGTGTGGCAAGGTTTTTTTTGGGTGGGGGAGCCGCCGACGGCGCGGGCACGCACAGGCGCGCGTCTGCCTGTCACGGAGGAAGGCGCCGCCGCAGCGTTGCGCGCGGTCGTAGTTCTCGTGGCTGGCCGCGACGATCGCCGTACATTCCTCCGGATCGGGTGATTGGTTTCGTCGCGCCGACATGCGTCGAGGCTCCGCTTCTCTTTATAACGGTGTCACGGGATCGTTAGCATCCACTGCGAAGCGGACAGATAACGCGCCCGTGGCATCGAGCGGGCGGGGCGGCCGCGTGGGCTCGAACCGGGAAACCTCCGCATCTAACGAGCGGCAAACCGCGCTGCCGCCGGGGCCACCGCGTCGTAGCTCTACGCGCACTACCGCCCGGCCGCGTCGACGGCTAAACCGGAGGACGTTGTCGCCCCGCCTCCCCCGCCCCTTGTTGACAGCCGCGGTGAAGCCGAGTGTGGACGCCAGCAAGGTGCGCGCGTCGGGGCCCGGCCTCGAGCGGGGCCTCGTGGGGCAGACGGCCGCCTTCCAGGTGGACTGCTCCGAGGCCGGACCGGCTGAGCTGGAGGTCACGGTGACCCCGGAGAAGGCCGGCCCCGCGCTCGCGGTGCAGGTCAGGCGGCGGGAGAGCTTACAACACGCCCGGGAACGCGATTGGAATGTGATTGAGAAAAAAAACCAATGCGTGTGTTCAAGTTCAAGTTCATTTATTAGGTATAGCCCTGTGAGCCATTCAGCTCTTGAATCGGGTGCAACCGCAACAAATAAAAAACTAAAACATGAACAAAAAACATCTTAAAGTGAATATGTGACTAAGTGCAAACAGAAAATTCAAGAAAAGACGGCAAAAATATTGCAGAAAAGACACCGTACACCAACGTTGTGTGCAAAAATCTCAGAAAATGTGTGTGCGCGTGTGCACGTGTGTGTGCGTGTATGTGCGCGTGTGCACGTGTGTGTGCGTGAGTTTGATTCCCGCTCATGGCCAACACCGGTGACGATTATCGAAACTGGTCTTGGGCCTCCCCTAGGTCGACTTAGCCGCAAAATGATTACCTGTGTGCGGTGTTTAAACACCGCCACGAGAGGGAGACAAAGGCTGCCGGGCCTGGTGCAGGCCACCCACCCCCCTCATGCGCCATCTCAGACTTAATTTGGTGCTGCTACTCGGCGACGGCACTTGCCCCAACGGTCTGTGAGAGCCTATACGGGGGACCTTTGTCTTCGCGTGTAAAAAAACATAACAAAATGATAAGCGCCGTCCGCGTGGCGCCCTCCCCCCCGCCAGGTGAAGGAGACGGAGGACGACAAGTACGACGTGAGCTTCGTGCCGCTGCGCGCCGGCCCGCACACCGTGCAGCTCACGTACGGCGGGCAGCCCGTGCCCAAGTTCCCGGCGCGCATCCCCGTCGAGGTCGCCGTCGACACCAGCGGCATCCGAGCCTTCGGCCCGGGCCTCGAAAAAGGTAGCGCGAAGGGAATCGGCAAATTAAACTCGGACGGGCCCCCCCCCCCCAACCCTTCCTGCCCCGTGCGTCTCGCATCGAGCGACGCAACGACTCTTTGAAAGGCGTTGTACTCGCCGCAGAGAACTGTAGCGACACGACCGCACTCAACGATGGCTGGCGCCAAACTGTGCCCCTCGCCCTCCCGCGTGGCCTTTTACTTCTGATTCCGTTCCCATGACGTGTACGTACGTCATCGTGCGTCATCATGCGTCATCGGAACGGAATCGGAAGGAACGCTTGACGACGTGCACGTACACGCCATCGTAAATGGGAAAGGATTGACGCGTCATCACGCTGGCTCAGAGCCACGGACGTCCCACTCACCCCGCTCACCCCGCTCCCCTGTGCGCCGTCGCCCAGTGCTGCGGGAGACGGTGGCCGACTTCACGGTGGACGCCCGCTCGGTGGCGCCGAGCGGTGGGGAGCACGTGACGGCGCAGGTGGCGGCGCCCAGCGGCGCCCACAGCGACGCTCGCGTCACCGACAAGAGGGACGGCACTTACGCCGTGGAGTACACGCCCTACGAGGACGGTGAGGGAGGCGGGCCTCGCCCGCGCGCCAACAACGTACCGCTCACTCACCCACGCGCCCGTTCACCCACAACATAGCACTCGCTCGCTCACCCACGTGCCCACTGACTCACTTGTCTACTCGCCCACAACACAGCGCTCCCCCACTCGCCCATTCGCCCTACGAATGCTCCAACGTCTATCGCTCCAACGCACTGCGGAGTGGCGGAAGGGATGGTACAGTGGTGCAGTGGTCAGCGCCGTGCGCTACAAGCCTGGCGACCCACAATTTATTGCTGCGTGTGCGAGTATTGAACTGATGTTTGATAGAACCGGTGTTTTCGAGCTGTGGTTCTTACCCTGGGGTGCCCGTGCACCCCATGGGGGTGTGAGACGTGGCCAGTTTTTTTAGAAGGTCAATCATTGAAACACAAATTAAGCACGGGCACGTAAGTACAACTACTTTGTTTAATCAAACCCCAGTGTATTTATTGAAATGGAACATTTTGTTATCGATTGAGAACCAGAGGGGTGCAAGGCTGAAGTAAAGGCTAAGAACCACTGTCTTAGACGATGGCGACGACGACGATGACGACGACGAACGTGGGCGCGCGTTCCGCTTCCCCTGCAGGTGCGCACACCGTCGACGTGATGTACGACGGCGTGCCGATTCCCAAGAGCCCCTTCCACGTTCCCGTGTCCGAGGGCTGTGACCCGTCGCGCGTCAAGGTGTATGGGCCTGGCGTGGAGGGAGGCCTCACGCACAAGGCCAACAAGTTCACCATCGAGACCAGGTTCCTGGCGGGCTTCTTCATCGAGCACCCTTCCAACACAAACCATCACCAGGGGGTCACCACGGGGTCACCATGGGGTCACCATGGGGTCACCATGGGGTCACCGTGGGGTCACCACCATTACCCCCCCGGGGCTTAACATTAAAACAGTCTTACCTGGCCGTTACTCGTTACCACGAATCCGTCCTATTCTCCCTCGAATTACAGCGCGCTAGCTCGTGTATTTCTCTAACGACAGCAATCCGTGGCGTCTTAAAAAAGCTGACGTGTCTTGCATCGGGCCGTGTTCCCCTCTGCTCGCGTCGCTCGGCTGCCCCGGCGACGGTACGTATCGTCGCGGTTGTAAGCCAGTTGTATCATCATCATCAGCCATGAACGATCCACTGCTGAATGAAGGCTTCTCGAGCCGCCGGCATCCCCCGCGGTCCCACGATGCAACAGTTTAGCACCTTGACTCACGTGCGCTGATTTGTATGTGCGTGCGTGTATGTTGAACTTCTTTCGCACCGTGCGTAGCCAACCGTGCTAATCATTAAACCATCTCCGCGGTGTAACTTCCTTCGTCGTAAGCCATCACCACCTTTTCTTGTGAGGTTGCCCTGTTTGACATGTGTGATTTTAGGCGCTTTGAGTTGCCGAAGAAATTAAGCGCTCCCCCCGACAGACACAAGCACCCCTTTCCTCCGCGGCTTATTTTTAGCCAAAAATCTTGACTGTGAAGCCAACGTCTTCCAGCAACGCGTGACCCGTGGCTCTTCTCTGCCCCTGCGCAGGGGAGCTGGCACGGGGGGACTGGGCCTGGCCATCGAGGGTCCCTCGGAGGCCAAGATGAGCTGCAAGGACAACAAGGACGGCAGCTGCCTGGTGGAGTACGTCCCCTACACGCCCGGGGAGTACGACATCAACGTCACCTACGGGGGACTGCCCGTGCCAGGTACGCTGGACGGCCCTCGATAGCGGCCTCAGGAAAGCGGCCCACTGGGCCCGAGAGGACCCGGCGCACGATTGGGATACACGTCACAGGCTCGGGCCCCGTGACGCGTGTGCTCAACGTTGGCCGTGCGGTGGCTCGTTTGCCGCTTGTTGAACAGGTCGACGGCGTTTCGAACCCCGTCGGCCGCCCCGGTTGATACTGCGGGGGGAATGAACCAGAAAACACACGCCGTCCGATTTGCAATGCAGGCGGAAGGATCCCATGACGCGTAGGGCCAGGTGTGTCCGCATCATCATAATCAAATTGCAGTGTTTAAATAAAATGACCGACACGGCCCCCTACTGTGGAGTGCCTTCAAACTACTTGAAACGTAGCGCCCACTAAGTTATTTAATTTGACTGAACGTATATTGTGATGTGTAAAGCAAGGGATGGGTAACCGATGGGCCTGTGAATTGATTTCATCCGCCCCGAGTTCAATTCCCGCTCACGGCCAACATCAGCGACAAATATCTGAACCGGTCCTTGGCCTCCCGTAGATCGACTCTCGCGTGCATAAACATCACCACTCGGGAAACAACGGCGGCCGGACGGCCATCCGGCCACCTACCCCCCCCCTCGCGTGCCGCTGCCGTCCACAACAGGTGCTCGCTAACAGCGCCTGTCCTCGACAGTCTGTTGAAGGCTATTACGGGGGGTGTTTGTGCTTTGCCAGGCTCGCCGTTCTGCGTGCCGGTGTGCGACGTGGTCGACCCCAGCAAGGTGAAGGTGTCGGGTCCCGGCATCGGGCCAGGGGTCCGGGCCAACATGCCACAGACGGTCACGGTGAACACCAGCAAGGCCGGCGTGGCGCCGCTGGAGGTCAAGGTTCAGGGCCCTCGAGGTTCGTGCCCCCCCCCTTGCCCCCCACACACAATCAGCTTCGTCCCCCATGCGTCGTAGGTAATTGGTTTGCGTCATTCCTGCAGCCACTGGAGACGTTACTTTTCACCGCAATACATCTTCCCACCGCTAATGTATAACAAAAATAATATGGGGGAACTGTATCTCGGCAACCCTAGTTTATAACGAGCCTCATGGAAAGTTTTATTAACTAGTCTCTCATTCTGGTCTAAGTGTGGGCCAGGCGAGATCTCACACCCGCATCTCTCTACAAGGGAGACTTATTACAGGTTGCCTGCAACCTCCCCAACTTTCACTACGAGGTTACAAGCAGGGGTAGGCTACCTACGACCCGCAGCTTTAACCGATGGGGGGACCCCCACGGTCCACACGAGGCCTACCCACGTCCAAATCGGGCCTGCGAACGACAAAGTTTTCCATTGCTGCGAGCACCCCCCCCCCCAAGCCCCTAGGCTGCACACAGCTCACGGCCGGCGCTGCTGCTGCTACTTTGCCCCCACCACCCTCGCCCCCAAGGCATCGTGGAGCCCGTGGAGAAGGTGAACAACGGTGACGGGATGCACACCGTGACGTACACACCCACCCAAGAGGGGCCCTACACGCTGGCCGTGCGCTACGGCGGGGTGGAGGTGCCACGCAGGTACGTCCCGCCCTTGCTCTACCCTTGCCCTGCCCTTGCCCAGCCCATGCACTCACCCGGAACGTGCCCGATATCGTCCGATTTGCTGTCGTTGGAGAAGCCACGTCTGCCCTGCTTGATGCGTGTGTCCCGTTCGCGTTTGGCGCAATGTGCTACGAATCCGGTGACCCAGGTTCCGAGCGAGGCGAGGGCTAATCTCAACCGGTCCAGGTTCACTCGGCCTCAAGCGAGAACCCTTTGCGCGAGTGTGTAAACATCAGCGCCGGGGAGACAAAGGTGGCTGAGCGTGGACCTGGTCACACCGCCATGCTGGCCTTTACAGGCGCTCGATAAGAGCACTTGACCCAGCAGCCTGTTAAAAGCTACACAGGAGGATCTTCATCTTTGCTGCTGTGTGCGTGTATTTGTGCGCGTTATCTGCAACCTGCAGCCCGTTCAAAGTGAAAGTGCTGAAAACGCACGATGCCAGCAAGGTGAAGGCGAGCGGCCCGGGCCTCAACTCGGCCGGGGTCCCTGCCAGCCTGCCCGTGGAGTTTACCATCGACGCTCGGGATGCGGGGGAGGGACTGCTGACCGTGCAGATAATGGTACGGTCCGACCGGACGGCGCGCTCTCGCGCGGTGATGCACGTTGGCGGCGCGGCTGCTCTGCTCGCCATCGACGCAGGCGTAGGCCTCTCTTGAGGTGTGCGCGGGAAGCCAATGGGTCGGTGGTGTTAGCGGGGTGGGGACACCTCCTGTCCTGTTTGCCTCCCTGTTCCTCACCGTAGCCTTTTGGGTTCCGCTCCGGCCCCATGGGCCCCGGGTGTAGTTGCACTCCTTGCTATTTTGGACAACTTCACGGCACCTCTTAAGCGTCCACTCTGAAGCAGACGGCGGCGCTGAGTATACTGGCGTTCCCTCGTTGTTCACGAACTCGGCTAGCCGCGATTGTGCCTATCCGCGAACCGCATCTGGAACTCTCTACGCGACTGCTGGATCGAGAGAGAGGTGCAGAAAGAAAGTGAGATAAAGTGATGAGAGAGAATGTGATTAGATAAAGGAAAGAGGCGCAGAATCATAATTTAAGGTTTATTATTGAAGAAGAAAGCTGTCTCTAGTGTGGACCAATCAGTTTCAAGGACAATGCATATATTATCAGAGTGTTTTTTGTTTGAATTCTGGCCACAAGTATTGTGGTTAATGCAGACATGATTCCTTGTAAACGGTTTCAGTCTGGTGTTTTAACATCTTAACACCTGTTTTGTTGCCAGAAAATAGAGGAAAACCTATTATCATATTTTGGTACTGGCAAAGGAGAAGGTCCCATGATGAAATATTAATATAATTTTCACGCATTTAATAGCTTATTTACGTATTTATTGAAGGAAACTTATTATTTAAGGTTTTTGAAGGCCAGTATCATCAGCAAAATTGCTATTCACGAGCATCTCCAGAGCGCGTATACCTCGCGAATCCTGTACCACGGTTCATACACGGGGCGGTATTGACCGGGGGCAGCCGTGTGCCTTGTTGCTCGAACCCGAAACCACCGCGGGCGCTCGGCCTTCATAGCCCCCCCCCGCCACCCCGAGAAGGAAGTCATGAGTGGCGTCTCATTCGCGAGCAGGACCCGGAGGGGCACCCGCGCAAGGCGAACATCCGCGACAACGGCGACGGCACGTACACCGTGTCCTACATCCCGGACCTGATCGGCCGCTACACCATCACCATCAAGTACGGCGGCGACGAGATCCCCTACTCGCCGTACCGCATCCGCGCCGTCCCCTCCGGAGACGCCAGCAAGTGTCTCGTCACGGGTAGGGCCCCCACCCCCCCCCCCTCCTGCACGCGCACGGCGACGCGGAAAGCGGACGGCAAGGCGGCGATCGCTCCGGTTTGTTTTTTTGCCGCCTGGAAAAGTCAAGGAAATCCGCCTTTTTAGGCGCGGAGTTCGTTGGAGAAGCCATCGCCACGGCACGATGGTCGGCGCACGCTTGGCTTGCCACCCGGAGGTCGCCGGTTCAATTCCGTCCCCCCACTCCGTGCGGCAGTTGAAACGATGGTGCCAGGCCACTTAAATCCAACCGCCGCTTCTCCGCCGGGCAGTAGAAATGGGTCCACAACGGGTGGTTAATCGACAGAAGACGTGGGAGATTCCCCACACTCTAAGTCGTCTGACCAGCGTTTGAAGAGTAGGCCAAATTCCCTCTAGAGGGGCTCTCCTAGAGGTGCCTCTAGTGGGGGGGTTCCTTCTGCCAGCGGTGGCGTGAGTGGAGCAATTCTTGCATCTTAGTATTCAATCTTGGTAACACTTCAGTGACTGTCGTGCAATTTAATCCGAGTTTCTCACCATCGCTATCAAGTGGCGAGTGGGAGGCTGAGGGGTTCGTGGGAGGATGTGGGAGGCCTTGACGAATTTAATGCAAAATTCTTGCCCACTTGAGTCCTGTCTAGAGATGTTTTACTGGTACAGCCGTCTCATTGTTCTGCTGCCACTTAAAATAATCTGGTCACAGTTTTGACCCACTTTGAGTTAGCGGACTGCTACAACGAGGCTGTAGCGCGTACTACGCGCAAGTATAGTGATGTCACGTGATAAGCAGTGCATTACGGGAGGACCGATCATATTTTGTTCATAATTGTGCATTTTATTGTCTGGGACTGTGAAACGCACGGACATGAAATACGACAGGCGTGAGACACTGGAAGCGTTGAACACAGATTTGTGATGTTGCTATTGTCGATGTCTCAAAAGTCAAATGGTAAGTAAAATTAATTTCTTAACAAAACGGCTGAAAAAAATTGCTCAGTGGTGGCCCTCAGGGGTCAGCGGTCAGAGAATTGAACCAACTCACTAGGAACCACGGTTCGAATCCAGGTCTTGGCCGATTGTAATTAAAGCGGGTTCTCAAGTGTAGTGAGGTAATGACTGCACAAAAATAAATTCCCCGTACAATATATATATATAAAAAACTAATTTTGCTAAATTCCAGCTTTTAGAATTTAAATATCTGTTGGACTGCCATGCGCCAAACATTTCTTTGGAGCAGGGCTTGTGAGAAAGTGCAGTGCCCCGTAGTGTATTCATTTATGTCACTTGAAGGAATCTCAGAAGTGGCTCTGTGATGTCTCCTTCCACGGGGACGTTCTTTAACGCAGGGCTGTGCATTGCTCTGAAAAAGTTCCTTAAATGACATTTCACCGTCTCGTGAACACACTACGGCGATACTGTATCTCAATATGCAAAAAAACCACGGGAGAAAAAAAAAAAGGATCCATTTGTGCCGACTAAAAATTGTGGCCGTGGTGGTGCTGTTGAAGCGTATGGCGAAGGACTCAGCCAGAAAAAAAAACTGTCATCACAGCCTCGACTGCATTCAGCTCGTACACACGCGCACGCAGGAGCGCGCGTGCGTGGTGATAGCGCACGCGCGATTTCTGAACAGCTGATGTTGTGGCCTGAACACCGCGAGCGGTTTGTCGGCGCTTTTTAACGGCGGTGATCTTGTCATTGCCTTCACGTCACCACACCCCCCCGCCGGCGGCAAGACCGCAGCAGCATGGCCGTCTTGTACACGTCACCCGTTCGCGAGCAAAGTTAAAACGATGCACACTCTCTTTGTTTTGTTTTACGATTAATGGATTCGTTAAGATGCTCTCTCCCTCCCTCACTCGCTCTCTCACTCACCGTAAGCTCACGGCGCACACAAACCCACAGAGCGGCTGGACACGTTGTTCTGACCGACTTTCACGAGTGTCAATTTGTCACATCACTCCCCCCCTGGTCTCTCTCTCTCTCTGCCCCCCAATCACTTCAGTGTCAATCGGAGGTCACGGCTTAGGTAAGCATCTGCACCCTCGCTACGTCCCCCCACACCTCCCCCCACACCCCCCACCCCCCCTCCCCCCCCCCCAATGTGCCGAGTCCCCTGCATGCTTGCCTCCCTCCGTGCTAATCTGACACCGTCCCTAACCCCCGCCTGCTAACCCGGTTTCTCTCCTGTGGGTGCTGCAACTCAATCATTGTGGTGCATGGCGATCGGCTTGGGTGGTGCCGTTGCATTTGAGTGGTGCTTGTGGGTTCGGTCGATATATCATTATTTATATATATAAAAAATTTAAAATGTTTTGCTGGTATTGTCCGGAATGCTGGATTATTTTGAGATGTTTTGTTGTTTAATAATATTTAATAATAATAATATCGGATTATTATGGATTGGCCTACCGTGAGTTCTAAGAGTTAGTGCCTCCCAAGCCAGCCTAGCAGTGTACGGGTAAATATCGACAAGTTAAGTCCAGTGCACGTATCACGTTAGTTACAAGTTGCCTATGCTGTGACCGAATCGAATGGAATGCGGCCGATTCTCGTCAGATCTCGGAAGACTGAGCAGGATTGAGCGCCCGATAGCGCTTGAGCTTGGATGGGGGACCGACTTACATAAAGCAGGTGCTGTGTAAGGCTGCTGCCACGGGGTCACGTCAGCACAATCGATAGCTGTAACATACCATGCTCCAATGTCTACCCCCACGGCCTACACGATGTGGGGAATCTCTCATCGTGGCAGACGGCGCCTTTAACGCCGCAGTGAATAAGAGTCACCGTGCTTCTTGAGTGGGGCGAGGTTATTTCCGAGAACTTGGGGAACGGTGATGGCGGGAGGGAATTCCAAAGGGGAGCAGTGCGAAGGAAGGAGCTGAAAATGAAGAAGTGTGGCAAGTGTGGTGGTGGTGGTTGGACGTGGGTAGCGAGAGTCCTCGACACGGGCGGAGGAATCAACGGGCGAAACTCACGCGAACAGTAACCGTGGTCGTCACGATAGACGAGCGATGGGGAGGTGCCCACCAGCCAGCGAGCGAGCGACACGCGGACGGCAACCGTGAATGACTCTCGCTTCCCCCCGCCCACAACCTCCGGCGCCGGTTGTGAAAGGCGGCGGCCTGGGCCCGGCGATTCAGATCGGCGAGCAGACGGTGATCACGGTCAACGCCAAGGATGCCGGCAAGGGCAAGGTGACGTGCCGCGTGTGCACACCCGACGGCGCGGAGCTGGACGTGGACGTGGTGGAGAACCCCGACGGGACCTTCGACATCTACTTCACGGCCCAGGAGCCCGGTCCCTACATCATCGCCATCCGCTTCGGGGGAGAGCTCATCCCCAACAGCCCCTTCCGCGTCATGGTGCGTGCACACGCTTTCCCGACGTGCGCACGCTCGCTCGCTCATGCGTCGATTCTGAGAAAGAGCGCCAGTTGTTTTTCACGACAGCGCCGGCTAACGTTGGCTCCTGCTGACGCGTGCCATCGCGAGTTGCCACGGACGCCGCTGCTCCGGTGTTAACCTTTGTCCTTCCGAACGGGGCCCGGGGGCCGCCCCTAGGCGACAGAGGACGCCATCGGGCGGGAGCCGCTGCGGCCGTTCAGCCTCGTCATCCCGTTCGCCGTGCGCAAAGGAGAGATCACAGGCAAGGGTGGCAGCGGCGGCACACCGACACGGAGCGCGTTTGCCGTGGACTCGTGCGTCACGACGGCCGGCTCCGCTCGCGTCGTTATAACGGCCTCGCACTCGCCACTCTAACGCTCCGCCCCCCGCCCCTGCTGCGAACAAAAGCTTCATAGCTCATCGGATTTCTCCAGGGATAATGATTCCGATTTTGAACATCGTTCTGCCCTTTCCCATCCCCTATGGCACGTGCCCTGCCATGTGATCAAAAACGCCTAGCCCAAAACCCCGCCGCACCTCGCTCTGATTCGCTCGCGTTGCGCTCACCCGCGCTGACCGGACACAGACACTCATCCCGACGTGGACACTGACCGCACGCTCACCACTCACCAGATCGCTCCCCGCTCACCGCTAACACAGCCAGGATGCGGCCAAGCAGGGCTTTAGCAACGCTCTTAACGGGGGTCGCGTGCGTTCATCGATGCGCAGGCGAGGTCCACATGCCGTCGGGTCGCAAGGCCAAGCCGGAGATAACGGACAACCAGGACGGCACGGTGACCGTCAAGTTTTCTCCCGTGGAGAAGGGCCTCCACGAGATGGACATCAAGTACGACGGCAACCACATCCCAGGTACCGAGCGGTCACTTGTGAAGGCGCCACCGTGGCGAGATGTTAACTTCCTCGCCTGGTATATAGGAGGTCAAGGGTTCGATCCCAACCCTGACGTCTGTATATTTGGAGGTTGCGTGTCTCTCCCCGTGGTCACGTGGCTTTTTCTCCATTACACGTTTAGAATATTTGTCTGCTATCATTTTCCACATGATAAGCAACTTATGAAAATAGTTAATTAGGACTTACCTGGTAAAATTATTTTAGTCAACCTTAGACTGGAATCCCTCATTCTTCTTTATTCCAGCAAATTTTTTATTTTAAAATAATAATAATTTCCTGCTCAAATAAGCAATGAGGCGTTGCTCATCCTCCATTTACAGGATTCAGCCAGTGGTGGAGATTCCATATTCCTGTGCTGGGTGGGGGGGGTGAGTCTGTTTATAAGACAACCGCGGTTGATTTCAGAACAAAGTGGCACTTGTTTTATCGACCCGAGAGGGATGATGGGCCGGCCGAGTCGACCTCCGGCCAGGATTTTAATTGGCAACCTTCCGATTGCGAGCCGCTCGCTCTGCCGATGAGCCACCTGGCCCGGTTTTGTCAATGGGCCTGTAAATATTTATTGTTTGGTATCGGCGCTTGCCCCTCTTAGCCAATAAGGCTACGCTAAACGAAAACTCTAAACTAAAAACTTTCAAAAATTTTACCAGGTAAAGCCCACTGAGCTATACGGCTCTTTTTCAGAAGCGACCTGGCCACAAATGATAGCCCAACGAAGTGGGCTTGTCACGTAGAAATTTATAGCAGCCAAATTCTCTGAACGCGCGACGTTGACTCTAAATGTCGAGGGAATAACCGGAGTACCCGAAGAAAAATCCACGCGACCGCGGGGAGAACACGCAAACTCCACATATACAGCAGGTGTCAGGGTCGGTATCGAACCCACGACCACCTGTAGACCAGGCGAGGTAGTTAACATCTCGCCACTGCTGCTGGCGGTGGTGGTGGGTGCCGGTGGTGGCGGTGGTGGCGGAGTGGGGAGGTGGGGAACGTCGTCTCTTGCAGCGCGAGGCCCCAATCCCGCCGCTGTTCCCTCGCAGGCAGCCCGCTGCAGTTCTTCGTGGACGCCATCGACAGCGGTCACGTGTCGGCTTTCGGACCGGGCCTCAGCCACGGCACGGTGAACAAGCCAGCCTCGTTCACCATCCACACCAAGGACGCCGGCGAAGGTAGCAGCCGCACGCCGCGCGCCACCGCAGCCGGCACGGCCGAGAACATCGTCACCGTCCGCAAAGATAGCGGATGGTGACGATGGCTGGCAGTCGAGGCCAGGACGATGGACGGTAATGATAGTCGAAGTAATAATAATGCAGCAGCAAGTTGCGTGAGGTAAAGTTAACGGGGCAGCAGTTTAAACAGTGGGTTTTTTTTACATTCTCCATTATATTTGAAAATTTGGTGAAATTGATTTGCCGCCGATTTTAATTTTCTGCGTAGCGCACCTCTTTTTTTTTTGATCCGCCCTCCTCTACACCGGGGCGTCTCAGAACGCTTCAGGCCACTTACACCGCATCTCACCTCAACACATTTGAAAGGGGCAACCCCCCCTAGTGGCAGCTGCCCCTCCTTGTTGTTACAACGTGGCCTGCGGGATTCAAAACCGCCAACCTCTGCAGTGAGCCACGTTCTGATTAAACACGTAGGCCTTTCCACAAGAGGTTTTTCTGGGTTAGGTCACGTAAATATAAATGTGTCGGTAAACCCGCTACCACCTGACACAGCCAATTAATAACTAATTGGCATGTTTTTCTTACGTTACATACCTCACTATAATTGGCTGTGTCGGGCGCTGGCGGGTTTACCGACACACACATTAAAACTTATTATGAGCCACGTTCTCCACCCACAAAACCTTGAATGGACGACTGCCGAGCGGCGCTTTGCCCCCGACAGCCGGCGAAAGGTGACAGGCCACGAAAACATTTTGTCTTCGTGCGTCCCCTAGGGGGGCTCTCCCTGGCGGTGGAGGGGCCGTCCAAGGCGGACATCACCTGCCAGGACAACAAGGACGGCACCTGCACGGTGTCGTACCTGCCGACGGCGCCGGGCGACTACAGCATCGTCGTCAAGTTTGACGACAAGCACATCTTGGGGAGCCCCTTCACGGCCAAAATCACCGGTGAGGGGCGTGCGCAGAGGCCCGCCAGAGAGTGTGCGCACAACACCCCCCAAACCCTGCAAAGGGCGCTGTGTAAATCCGGAATAGATTAGAATTGCAGGGCCCGCAAGGCCACTGGGGACCCCCTGGTGGCCATTAGTGCGGCCCCTAACATTGCGGCCCCCCCGACAATGCACCAGCCAGTCGTCGTGCTGTCAAACTCCCCGTGGTTTCAAAGTGAGTGGTGGCCCCTCACGCTGATGATGGTTATCGGCGAAAGTGGGCCCCCGTTAGAGAATTAGTGAACAACACCGTCCTCACCCGTTGATGCGAGAGGTGTACAAAATGGTAAAGGCTTCACGGAGGGGATCTTTGTCTTTGTATCGAGTCTATACGTACGCGTGCGTGTATCGTTGTGTCTTTGCGCACGTGTGCACGCCAACACGCAAACATGTGCATGTGTGCGCGCGCGTCTGTCCGTTCCGTACAGGCGACGACTCCCTGCGTACGTCGCAGCTGAACGTGGGAACTTCCCAAGACGTCTCCCTGCAGATCCTGGAGACCGACCTCAGTCAGCTGTCGGCCTCCATCCTCGCGCCGTCTGGGCGGGAGGAGCCGTGCATTCTCAAGCGTCTCCACACGGGACACATCGGTACTCGTTCGCGCGCGAGCCTCCGCGAAGGCTTCCATCCCTTCGCCACGGGCACGTCCGAGCCGTTTTACGCCGGCCTCACGAGATATCTGGCTCGGGGGGGGGGGGGCAAGCAAGGCCGGGGGGGCGGGGGGCAAGGCCTATAATGCGTTTGTCACGCGCGACATCGGTCAGTGCGTAACGGTATGACTCGTGGCGTCACACCGCTATCGTAGCGCTAGGGCACGACCAAGGAGGGCGCTCGCGTTTCACTTCGTCTGGGGGGGGGGGTATGTCGGCGTGCGTGATCCCAGTTGGGTAATTCGCGGTGTCAATTTTTTTTCAAACTCGTGGCGAATTTCGATGGCCAACTCTCTTCTAACGACGGCGCCACGGAATCTTTGGCGTGCGCTGCGAGCGACGGACGGCGCGTCGCATCGTCACGGTCGGCACACACCGCAGTATTAACCGGGGCGGCCTGCCGGATTCTAAAGGGCGAACCTCTGCGACGAGCGGCGAATGCCCCACCCCCAAACCCCCGCCCCTCGTGTAACCCGCATCATCCACCTCCCCCACCCCCAACCGCTCCCCGTGCACGCGGGTTCGCAGGAATATCGTTCACGCCCAAGGAGATCGGCGAGCACCAGGTGAGCGTCAAGAAGGGTGGCCGCCACGTGGCCAACAGCCCCTTCACCGTGGTGGTGGGGCCCTCGGAGATCGGCGACGCGAGCCGCGTGCTCACGTCCGGCGCCGGCCTCGCCGAGGGGCAGACCTTCCAGCTGAGCGAGTTCGCCGTGGACACGCGCAACGCCGGTGAGGCTGCGGCCGTCGAGATGGTCGGACGGTCGGTCGCACGCACGCACTCACCCACGGGAGGAAGGAACCCGCGCGTGATGTGGCGGCGGCGCCGCCATCGCAGATTGGGATGGCGTTTTTCCAGTGCAGTCAAAACGCAGGATTGATAAAAAAATCGGGAGCTATAACGCAGTGCGATTTCATGCCAAGATGCTGCGCAGAAGCGGTGGCTGTGTTTGATTTGATACGAGAGAGGCCGTCGGTCGTAGGCAGAGGGAAAGAGCCTGGACTTGCACAGGGCGCAGTTGACAGCGTGGATGTGAGTTGGGGGCCAGCAAAAAATATGATCGACCTCTCCTTGAGTGAAGCTTGAACGGGGGCTTCGACAGCAAGCGGGGGTGGGGGGGGAATTGCGTGGCAGGGAGTAGATTGAGATGTGGGGGGTAGAGGTAGGACAGCTCATGGACAAGAGTAGTTCATTGAGAGGGAAGAGACGGGGCAGGCAAGCAAGCAGGCAGGGGCGAGTCCTTGGAAGATCTTTCATTGTCTATAAGTGTCATCTTTAAATCGATCTGGAGTTGGATTGAGATCCAGCGAAGTGTCTGGAGCATTTCATGGGGTGGCGGGGGTGATTCGGAGTGATTTACGGCGTGTTGTTGCGTGACGTCCCTTGCCAGGATATGGTGGCTTGAGTCTGGCCATCGAGGGGCCCAGCAAGGTGGACATTAACTGCGACGACCAAGAGGATGGGACCTGCAAGGTCTCCTATTGCCCCACCGAGCCGGGCAACTACATCGTCAGCATTAAGTTCGCCGACGAGCACGTGCCAGGTAACCTTGGCAATGCGCTCCTGGTTGCCGCGGAAACGGATCGGGGGTCAGAGCGCGGGTTGAGTTCAGATCCAGGTAGCCACCTGCGATGAGAGCATGCGGTCTCCATTGTAGCCAGTTGATGGTCTTAGCCCAGTCACGAATGATGGCACAGAGAGCCCAACACAAATAAATACGGCACCTTTGCACACTCAAAAGTGCCTTGGTTAAGTGATGTCATTAGCCGAACGTGTAGGTGAACGAAGAGCGCTGGGGCATTGTAGATGGCCCCGGTGGTTGGGAGGTCACTGCGCTGAGTTGACACTGCTGAGAATCGCCACTTCAAATCCAGGTGGCCGCCTCAAATTAAACTGAGCTCTCAGGTGCAGAGAGATGTGAGTATGTATGTATGTTGAGCTTCTTTTGTACCATACGTAATCAACCGTTCTCATCGGAAGTACGAGATGATGATGGTCTCAGCCCGGTCACCGGTGACTGCACAGAAGAAAAAAAACATTGTATTTAAAGTATTGTTTTTTAAACTGAATTTGTTAAATTCCAGCTCTGAGAATAAAAACAATTATGGGGAAATTCCAGTGCCCCTTGACAGGATCTCAGAAGTAGCTCTATGACATCTCCTTCCACGGGCCGTTTTCTACCACGTGAGGCTTCCGCCGCTCTGTGAGAGAGACGATTGGAGAGTTGCCCCTGATGACACGACAACGACGCCAAAAGCACGCCGGGAACAAAACCCGGGGAGATTAAAAGAGAGAGAATTGAGAAACTCCGTTTCTGGTTGTGCTTGTTCCGCCCTCAACCTCACTGGGCTACGACCTGCACCCCCCACCCCCACCGTCCCCTGGACGCCCCCCCCCAGGAAGTCCGTTCAGCGTGAAGGTGAGCGGCGAGGGCCGCATGAAGCAGACGGTGACGCGGAGGCAGCAGGCGCCGTCCGTGGCGTCCGTGGGGAGCACTTGCGACGTCGCTCTCAAGATTCCAGGTATCACCACCCCCCCCGCTATCCCCCCCCCCCGCTACCCCCCCCCCCGTTACCCCCCCCCCCTACTCCCATCCTAGTGACGAACAACGGAGAAATTATCCGTAGCACCGGACTTGCAGGCCAGAGGCCAACGGTTCAATCCCCTGACAGGGGTTTGGACTATTTTTGCCGTTGTTTTTTTGCTGTTGTTCAAGCTTGGCAATTTGAACTTATAAGCTTCATCTATTTTACGTATTTACTTTTAGTGGTTTGCTCACCTTTCCTATACCTTGCGCTCCTGCCGATTGTTTGTATTGGACGCACTGTGGAAAAAGGGGCTTCGTAGCTCATCGGATTTCTCCAGGACGAACAAAGATTTCCCATTCCTATTCTGAACAACGTTACGCCCTCTCCCATCCCCCTATGACACGTGACCCGCCAACGTAATAAACAAACACCGAGCTGAAGAACCCTTGCCTCTGCGTGTGCCCGCACGCGCGGAACAGAAATCGACAAGGCCGAGCTGTCGGCGCAGGTGACGGGCCCGTCGGGCCTGCAGCAGCCGGCCGAGATCACCGAGAGCGGCGACAGCACCTACTGCGTGCGCTTCGTGCCGCAAGAGACCGGGCCTCACACCGTCAGCGTCAAGTACCACGGGCAGCACGTGCCGGGCAGCCCCTTCCAGTTCACCGTGGGGCCGCTGGGCGAGGGCGGCGCCCACAAGGTGCGGGCGAGCGGCCCGGGACTGGAGAGGGGAGAGACCGGCGTGCCGGGTAAGACGCGCGCGACGGTCGGCCCGGCCAGCTTTTAGACGTAACAGTCGCGCGAACTCCGGACATCCTGGCGAGCAGCAGCAGTGGCGGCGGCGGCTTTTGGCTGGCCATCGAACAACAAAGACGGTCACTGCATCGCGCGCTATCAGTATGCGCTTCTCCGGCCCTTTGGAACGCTCTTCCTTCTGATATCAGGAAGCCACTGGAGCTCTGCACTTTTAAATCATCTAGATTAAAAACTAATTTCTTTATAATAGTTTGTTCATTTTTAGTTTGGTGTTCTCCCACCCGCACCTCCGATCAGCATGGTTGGCTACGTATGGTGCGAAAGAAGTTCAACATACGTACATACATAGAACTTTACGCGTGCCAGGCTCGGAGTGTGTTATTGCCGGGATGCAAAAGTTGCCGAGTTTCTGGGAGGCTCAACGGCGGACGCAGCAAGGGCTCCCCCCTCCGTCGGCCCCGCGTACTTTTCAAGAGCCGCGCTCGACCTCGGTTATCTCCGATATTGCCCACCCCCCACCCTGGGCCACGCGAGCGTGAAGGCCGCTCTGACTCGTTGGTCGGGGGCCTGACTTACATTTTTTATTATTTTAACCAGGGAAGGCTCACTGAGCTATTTGGCTCTTTGTAATTTGCAACCTGGCCACAAATGATAGCTCAACGGAAGTTGCTGATCGTGTGGAAATTTAAAGCAGCCAAATACTCTAAACGCACGTTGATTCTAAATGTGGAGGGAAACACGTGGAGGACCCGGAGAAAAATCCACGTGACCATGGGGAGAGAGAGTGAGAGACACGCAAACTCCAAATATACAGCAGGCATCAAGGGTCGCGATCGAACCCACAACCTCCTGTCTACCAGGCGAGGTAGTTAACATCTCCTCGCCACCACGGCGCCCTAGAATCCACAGGGCTGCCGTCACCTTGACTGAGACTGCGACTGGAAAAGAACAAAGGCCGACTGAAACTAACACAACCACTGGTCCACACAGCCGAGTTCAGCATCTGGACGAGGGAGGCGGGGGCCGGGGGACTGTCGCTGGCCGTGGAGGGACCCAGCAAGGCCGACATCTCCTTCGAAGATCGCAACGACGGCTCCTGCGGCGTGTCGTACGTGGTGCAGGAACCCGGTAACGTGGCGCCCTGACATGCACGTGCGTGTGCGCGAGTGTCGGGCGTGTGTGTGTGTGTGTGCGTGTGTGTGTGCATGTGTGTGCGCCTGTGTATGGGGAGCGGTAGTATAGCGGTTAGGGCTACGCTGCGCTAGGAACCCGGCGACCCGAGTTCGATTCCCGCTCACGGACAACACCAGTGACGATTATCTGAACCGGTTCTGGGCATCACCAAAGTCGACTCGGCTTTAAAAAGAGTACCTGGTGCACGCTGTGTAAACATCAGCAATGGGGAGACAACGGTGGCCGGGCGCGGTGCTGGCCACCCACCCTCTCGTGTGCTGCGCCGGCCTTCACAAGTACTGCTCGCAAACAGCACATGGCCCCAACGGCATCTTCTGAACCACAAGAGATGGCGGCGACAGTTTGAGGATTTTGCGTGGCTGCTGTTGACGCCGGTGGCGGCGGTGGCGGTGGTGGTGACGGTTGTCGCCGTTGTTGTCGTTTGTCGGCCGCGTGCCACCGCCGCGCAGGTGACTACGAGGTGTCGGTGCGGTTCAACGAGGAGCACGTGCCGGACAGCCCCTTCCTGGTGCCCGTCGGCGCCCCCAGCGACGACGCGAGGCGTCTCACCGTCGCCAGCCTGCAGGTGAGGCGCCAGGGAAGCCTTTGTCCGTGTAAAGAAACAAAAACAACAAACAACCGCGAGCGTGTGCACGCCCGCACGTACGTGCCAGTGTTAATTAGCGACCAAAATAATTAGTCGGCAAAGTGGTTTGTTTTGCTTAGTCTGGTCAACGATGACTCTCGCGTGGACGAAAATCGTCCGGCGCGACGAATGACGACGGCTCCTGCCCGCCAATCAACCAACAACGCGCGCCCGTCTATGACGAGACGAAACTACCGGGTCACCTCGTGTAACGTCGTTACTCGAGTGCACAGAGGAGGACTGAAAATGGTAATTGGCTCCCAAAATTTTTTTTAAGAAGGTAATGGCGCAGCCCCTGCAACACCTTGCTCACTGCTGGCGGAAGGGCATCCCATAAAGGGAGCTCGATCTAGGCAGCGCCTCTGGAGGGATACGTTTGGCCTCCTCTTCCACGCTGGCCACAGCACCGATTTCAACACCGATTGACTCTCCCTCATATTATTGGTGGGGGGGGGGGGGGCGGAGGGGGTGCACGCCCCCTCACACCAAGATTTTAATAACTAACATCAGACACACTGACACAACGACCGAGCGAATCGAGTCTACGACGACCGAACGAAGTCCGCAGCGTAAACACACGAGAGTCCGCAGGTTATCGTTGACTAGACTTAAGGCTGCAACCGACCCAGATTAACACTGGCACGTGTGCGTGCCTGCCCACCAAGTGCGTGCGTGCGTGCGCGTGCGCGCTTGGCGCCCGGTTAATGCCCAACAGCTTCAAACACCGCCGGCCTCCTCCTCCTCTTCCTTGTCGCCAACAAAAAGCTCGCCGTCGACAGGAGTTCACTTTGGGCAGCTTTGTTCGAGCGCTAAAAATGTGCGACTGGTCGATAGATCCCTCCTTTTCACCCCACGCTACGCTCGCTGGGCATCAGGCAGTTGGCAGGCTTGGGGCCCTGTTGCGAGCAATTAAACGTGGGGGGGACCCCGCACCTGGGCCCCTGCACACTCGATGGCGATGCCGCTGCATTGGGTTGCCTCCAGCGGAGGGAGCTCGAGAGAGCGTGCGTTGTTTTTCACGTGGGAAGAAATTGGAATCCCCAGAGAAAACCCCACGCGCACACGAGGGGTTGACACTCGAAGAGCGACACGCCTCTTCTCTTGACCTCTGGGTAGACATTAGCGCGAGTGGTCACAGTACGACGTCACGTATCCGCACCGACCAATTAACCGCCCGGTGCACCGCTCGCACGCGACGGTGCGACCGCGATTTCCTGCGGGCTTTCGCGTTTCCGACCGTTTCGCACGTCCGCCTAAAGCTCGTGGCGCATGACAGTCGCCCACTTCATGGGGCTTTGGAGGAGAAGGGTGGCGTTTGAAGCTGACAGGCAGAGTGGCAATTGCTTCCCTAGCGCCTCGTGTGAAGGCTGGTGGGCCGGTCCCGGTAACTCTGTGATTGTGTGTTGTGCGTTCGATGCGTTTCTCAATACCGGCGACTGCTCGTGTAACCACGGTACGGCGATACTCCGAATTGCGTTGTGCGATCCACCGCAATCATCTCGTCTGTCTCGCGAACCGTCGCTGCTCATTGTATTTTTCTGAAATAATTTCCTGACCAAAATATGTATGAAATCACACGCTCGATAATTAAAGTTGTAAATATAATCACCGTGCTGGTATTTGACAGCAAGGTGATTCGATTACATCTTTGTGTTAGTAAGTTAAGTAAGTTAATTTTAGTAAAGTCACGTAGAAGGGAAGTAATAAAATAATAAAAATAAAACATAATATAATGTTTTATTGTTATTATTTTATTACTTCCCTTCTACGTGACTTTACCGAAACAACCAAGAAGATGAATCCCTGCAGTCACGAAAGCTTTAAATTGAAATTTAATTTTAGTATTTGTTATAACTGCCCACGCTGCGTTATAAGCGTTATAGATCGTGATTATTGCAAAGGCTAGTGGCAGGATTTTTTTTATACTTCAAGTACACAATTGAAATACAATTACAAAGTTAATTAAAACTGAGATCGCTGCAAATGTAATTTCGTGACTATTAATATCGTATCTTGAGTAACCTATCGGATCTTCGACATCGCTGCACGATTCCATCATGTAGACCGGCCTTTCTCAACTCCACCCCTCGTGTTCCCCGCACGGTACAGCTTTCCATGATCTCCAAACATCAGCCGCTTGCAATTGTGCAGTGGCTTCATTTTTAAACGAGCATAAAATGATGGTATTCACGGAAATGCGAACGGACCATGGCGGGTTGCTTGAGAAACTCCGGTGTAGATCCAACCTGCGCAGATTTCTACGGCTGTCCTGCTGTATAGCTTTGCGCTGGATGTGTGTCTTCGGGTTGTACCGCGCGCTGTCCGGCACGAGGTTCGGCGTTTCTGTCCACGTGGAGTGAAACGTGGGGACGGCGTGGCGGACATCACGTGGCGCAACGCGGGAACTCGTCGGACAGCTCCGCTGCTTTGGACGTTTTTGCTCACGGTCGTCGGGATGTTTAATTGTGTTCCGCTAAACCGTGCAACGTGCCCATCCAATAGGAGTCAGGGTTAAAGGTCAACCACCCAGCATCCTTTGCAGTTCAACTGAACGGAGCCAAAGGGGTGATTGACGCCAAGGTGCACGCACCCTCGGGAGCTGTCGAAGACTGTTTCGTGTCTGAGCTGGAATCTGGTAAAATGGGAAATGCACCAAGCCACTCTGTAACACTCCCTTTTGCACCGCGCCATGTTGCACGACCCCCCACTCCGCACCACCCCCCACTCCGCACCGCCCAAATCCACGCCACTCCGCACCACGGCACTCCACACCATCTCACTCCACACTGCTCCACTCCGCACCGCCCCACTCCGCACCACGCGCAAGACGTGGCCTGGCGGCATGAAGGAGGAGGACTTGGAAGAGTGAAATGTAGACCTGCTTGAAGCGATCACCACGACCAGCGGGAGGAAAGAGAGACGAAGACGTTTGTCCCGTCTCATCCTCAGAAGCCACGTGACCACGGACAGAAGGGGAGAGAGATAGATACATATATATAATCACACATTGTACTATACTTTATTGTGTCTATATAAATGTATTTATTCGTGATGTCCTCATAGCGTGCCAGTGTAAAATTTAGCTAAACTCAAATTTACTAAATTGGGTGAAACCACATTGTGAACATTGCTCCCGACCGCCGAACTACACTCGTCATTTAACCACGGCGACCTTCGCGAAATCCTTGCGCTGCGGGGACGCCGCGGGTACCAAATGTGCTCGTTTTGTTTCGTCATCGTTACATGTGGTTCTTCGTGGGCGTTCTCCCCTTGCGTTCCTCCCTTCTCCGCCTCCTCTTCCTACCCCCCCCTCCCCGTCCGTCGCAAACGCAGACAAGTACGCCATTCGCTTTATCCCGCGGGAGAATGGCGTGCACACGATAGAGGTGAAGTTCAACGGGACCCACATCCCAGGGAGTCCCTTTAAGGTTCGTGTCGGCGACCCCGGCCAGACCGGGGACCCTGGGCTCGTCTCTGCGTATGGACCCGGACTGGAGGGGGGCATTACCGGTGAGTGCCGCAACAAGACAAAGACAAAGATCCCCCAGATAGCCTGTAATGGACTCGTGGAGCAAGCGCTGTTCAGCGAGCACCTGTGAAGGCCTGCACAGGTGCTCGCACACGAAGGGGGTGGGTGGCCAACACCACGCCGGGCCGCCTTTGTCTCCCACAATGACGATTTGAGGGCGAGTCGACCTAGGGGAGGCCCAGAACCGGTTCAGATAATCGTCACTTGCGTTGGCCTTCAAAGGGAATCGAACTCGGGTCGCCGAGTTAGTAGCGCAGCGCGCTAACAGTTGCACTACCGCTGCCACACGCACGCATGCACGCGTAGGTGGGTGGTTACATCGGCGCAGCGATCGTGCCAGGCTAGGTGCATTTCGTGCCAGGCTCGGTGAAGTGCGGAGATCACGGGACCAGAGCCGTCCGTAGGGTGGACGGCGAATCAGGGCGACTGCCCTGGGCCCCGCGCTTTGGGGGGCCCCTGCGCTTCGATGTCAGTGTTAGATATAACACTTCCGGTTTAGTTTGAAATCACACCGTGTGGGCCACAGGTCCCGCACCCCCTTCCCCCTCTATGGAGCTGCCCTGCCCGGGACAGACGCAGGTGCCTCGGGTTGCACCCTGCCTGTCGGTTTGAAGCACCACCGCACTCTAGCGACTCATCGCAGTGCAGCACAACGCCGCGTATCCGACTCGCCGGCCACTGACGCACAGGCGGACGTGTGCAAAGATCGGATACGTAACAACGACAGTTGCGCCACCGAGAGCACAAATAGGTCACCGGGGCCAAAAGTCGGAGCGCGATCTGCACAATATAAGGGCGGGGAAAAGACGCGGCGGCTCGGGAGAGAAAACGAAACGCGCGCGACAGTCTGGGCGCACGCGAGCGGAGAGGCCGGGACGATCCGAGTCGCGACCGAGCGTGCGCCGTCGGCACGACCCTTGCGCGCAGGGGCGACGCTCGACTTCGTCGTGAACGTGAGCAAGGCGGGACCGGGCGCACTCGCCGTCACCATCGACGGGCCCTCCAAGGTCAAGCTGGACTGCGTCGAGTGCCCCGAGGGCTACAGGGTCACCTACGTGCCCATGGCGCCCGGCAACTACCTCATCACGGTCAAGTACGGGGGACCCCACCACATCGTGGGCAGCCCCTTCAAGGCCAAGGTCACCGGTGGGTGCTCGGCCCGGGGGCCTCTGCATTGAACGGCCGCTAGTCCGGGGGAGGGGGGGGGAGCCTCGGTCTTCACCGACGGCCGATGAGGGCTCTCAAATACTCGCCGTGCAATTGGCGCACACCTCGGCGTTATCCGGCGGATAACCTAAACGGTGACCTTTACCTTGGTCACAGTGAGCATGCCAACGTTGGTACGTGGCTGGAACCGACGCTGACCCGATGGCTTGGCCCCAACGTTCCACGTTTTACACGGGGGGGGGGGGGGGGGGGTCAAGGCGCGTCGGTCGAGGTCGGGTCCGAGTTCCGAAGTCGGACACCGCAGCGAGGATGCTTGCAGCGACGGGGTATACGTCGTATTTTTGGCGGGCCGTTAAGAGGGCAACGAACATACGGACACTGCGGAGAAAGGCTGCGAGGCACGGGCGCCGACTTCAGTCGAGCCCGAACTTGCGTCCTCCTCCCCCCCCTCCCCGACAGGTCCACGTCTGGCTGGAGGCCACAGCCTTCACGAGACGTCCTCGGTGCTGGTGGAGAGCGTCACGCGCTCGTCCACCGTCAACGCCGTGAGCGCCGGCCTCCCGCGCTTCGCCTCGGACGCCAGCAAGGCGGTGTCGCGAGGCACGGGCCTCGGCAAGGCCTACGTGGGCCAGAAGAACAGCTTCAGCGTCGACTGCAGCAAAGCCGGCGAGTGCACCGCAGCGCCGCCGTTTGATCGCCCGGGGTCGCGGCCGCAGTTTTTTTTGCCGGGGGAGACTGGAGAGGAGGATTTCCCTCACTCTGCTTTCTTTTTACACATCTGGGACTGGCACTGTCAGAATCAGAACATTTATTTATGCTGGAGGAATCCGATGAGTTATAAAAGCTCTGTTTTACGGATGTCCAGTAAATGTCCAGTCCTGTCAGGTGTCGTACCTTGGGTGGGATACGTTGATTTAGTACTTGAACGGTAGACTCTTTGGGTATTAGCAGCCGCTGTCGGGTTGGGGCTGGCTAGCAAGTGGCCAGGAGATGAAGTATAACAATAGTTTGTTGACGTATTTGGTCTGCGCACGCCACCACCTTTTTTCAAACGCGAACTATTTATTCAACTAAAACTGTTTTTATTTTCCCAGGTAACGCCCACTGAGCTACGCAGCTCTTTCTGAGAAGCGACCTGGTCACAGATGATAGCTCAACGAAGTGGCTTATCGCGTGTAAATGTATTGCAGCTAAATGCTCTAAATGTGCGATGTTGATTCTAAATGTGAAGGGAAAAACCGGACCCAGAGAAAAATCTACACGTCCACAGGGAGAGAGAGAGAGAGACACGCAAACTCTAAATATACAGCAGGCGGCAGGGTCGAGATCGAACCCACGGCATCCTGCATACCAGGCGAGGTAGTTAAAATCTCACCGTCCCCGCCCACCCCCGCACAGGAAACAACATGCTGCTGGTGGGAGTGCACGGGCCGCAGACGCCGTGCGAGGAGGTGCACGTGAAGCACATGGGCAACCGGCACTACAGCGTGACGTACACGGTGAAGGAGCGCGGGGACTACGTGCTCATCGTGAAGTGGGGCGACGACCACATCCCCGGCAGCCCCTTCAGGGTCAACGTGCCCTGAGATGCTCGTCCGCCGTCGTTCTCGCCCACAACTCGAGAACACAAATGTATTAGGGAGACCAAAAAATTACGTACATGTTCCGCCCCACCCCCCGCCGCACACTAATATCTTGACAAAATGTGACCCGACCAGGCAAAATGTTGAAACCAAGCGATTGTTTGGTCGACTGCTCGCTCGTGACACCTACTGACGGTTCAGTGCGGTTGCAGGATTCCGTCAAAAGTATCGTCATGCCAGCGGCAATGCATTCGGGGAAACGCACGCCCCGTCAATTTGTCGTTCAACTCGAGGGCCGAAAAGTCTCGCCTGAAATAATTTTGCGTCGCACCGAAAGATTTCCTTGTTAGGCGGCACGCGCCACGACGCCGTTCCCAGCAATCCCGCCCTGCAGCGTCGCCACCGAGAGTTGCTCGACGTCGTCCGTGCGCTGCCAAAGCACACCGAGCGGCGGGTACCTCATCCGCCCAGTTGGGCGCTCTTCTTGTTCGGACGGGGATGACCGACACGTGACGCGTGCGTGCGCGCGTGCTCACTGTCATCGCGTTGGCAGCCCCCCACACCCCAACCCCCCTTTTTTCCCCCCGCATCGCGTTGTAACCTCCGCCACCCGCACGCCGCTTCACGCGAATCGCCGCGCACAAACACAAATGATGTATTTAAAAAAAAAAGTGAATGCGACCCAGTTTCTTCTCACGTTTCTTGGTTTTTGTTGTTGTTGTTCGTAATCGACACTCAACACGACTGTACGCCCCCCGCGCACATGCGTGCCCGCACGGTCATAAACTGCTCGCATGAAGGAAGGGACGTAGTCGTCCGGACCCAGTCGCTGCCAGGGACTTAAGCTACCTTTCCGTTTTCATTCGGCCGCGTCAAAATCCCCCGCCAATCAACCGTCTCTGCTGAGACCGACTCATCGCGTTTTCCGCCCCCCGCTTAAGATTTGTTGCACCGCCTTGTTCTGCTCGCGTCTCGGTCGATCGGCAGCTCGCGGGTCCGGGGAGGGGGTCCGGGGAGGGGGGCCGGGGGGAATAAAGCGTGGGCCACTCCCCACCTCTTTCCACGAACTTGGGGAAGAGTAAGCCCCCCCCACGCCACGGATGCAATCCACAGGGCCTCTCTCAGAGCTCTGGGCGAGTGGCGGGCCCCCTTCCGCCAGCGTTTGGCGCCAGCGAGCACTTGCAGGGCTGCTCATTTACCTCCTCGAGCTGCTTCGTAGCGCGACGCCTACGGCGCACGGGACTGCCACGACCGATCGGCCGACTCGGTGGATAGCCCGAGCACACGCTCACTAAGTTCATTCGCAGGTGCCCAGTGCGTTTGTCCTCACCGCGCCAACGGCCTTCACGTTGTTGCGCCACGCGGATAGAGCGCGCCGTTTGACGCCCGGATTTTGCCGAGCCTTGTGCGCCGAGGGCAGGAAATGACACTTCTATACAGGATAGTTCTGTTTGCGTTGCATTTTATACTTTACGTGCCTGTTTTGCATCCTTTCAAGTATCGCTTCATATTATAAATACTGCTAGGCTAATAAACAACGCTTAATTTTGGTTAAATATTCCGGCTGTTGCTTTTGTTTCTGTGCCCATTAAATGCTCCTCTCTCGCCGATTGGTCGATTCGCGACCTTGCAGCAGTCGCTCAGCGGTTCACGAGTTGCTCCACGGACCCCGGCGACCCGAGTTCGATGCCCAGCCGTGGCTGCCACCATCGGTGGTGAACGATATCCGAGCCGGTCCTGGGCCCAACACTCTCTTACCAACCCGCCGTTGGCCAGAGTGTCGAAGTGCCACGGTCAAACAGCCCCCGTGGGACACTGCCCGTCATCCAGCTGTGGATTGACAACACTGATGGTTTTAGAAAGACGTGTCGTGGGAAAAGAAGAAGAAAAAAGACAACAGAATTATCGTCGCGTCCTGTTGTGAACACTGAAACGCACACACAAGTCAAAGCGAGGAGTTACACGGCATTTAGCAGTGCTGCACGTAACTCCCCGTGCCACTGCGCAGTCAAATTTCACGGCGAAGCAGACGGGGGGGATATTCCCAGCGCTTCATTTTAGACGGATTATTCCACAAAACGATGTTCGGCGAATTACGCTGCGCAAGCCACACCCATCCAGCGTTGTTGTCTTCCCATGACTTGTTTGTTTTTCCTCATTGGCATCATATAGGACACGTTAATGCATGTAGCGTGTATACCAGTGGCAGTGCCTTATGCCCGACATTCTAAACTGCGAGCCAAGCCTCGGCAGGAGGCGTTTCGGAAATTATTGTCGAGAAAGATGAAAAGCAGCATCCCTGTGCAAGAAACAGTGTCGTCGCCAGTGAGCATTTGTGAATTCGCCAAGGCGAGAACGCGACGCAGTAAGAACACAGCGTTGTACTAAAGCAGGGGGGAGAGGACATCAAGTTAAATATATATACATTGGGATCTCAAAAAAAGTCGAAGGTTTTGTACTGAATATGAAAGCAATCGTTCACCATAAGGTAGGAATTACATTGTGGTGTTTGTTTTTGTTAAGTTCACTCTTTCACTAAAGAGCAACGTGAATGTTCAAAAGCCAATAATTGATTTTGCAAATCGAAGAAAATAACGAAAAATAAAATTCCCAAGAATTTTATCAATAAACGGCACAAGGCTGTGGATTGTGTAAGGGGTCGGCACACAACCACCGGCTTTTAAGTCGACTTCCCAACACGTGTCAATGTAGCGATCTATTTAATCGAAAGCAGCTCTTTCAAGGGCCGAAAGCAGCACTTTCAAGGGCCCCGCGCTAAATGCTTTCAAGCTATCAATTCCGGTTCAGTGATTCTGCACTTGCTCTTACTATAGTACTATATCGCCTTCGACTGTTATGAACGACTGGGTGTTTAAGGTTAGCGATGTGTCGTATTATCTGGCTGTCTAGCAAATGAAAGAATACAATTACTTCACTATGCAAGTTAAACATTTGTCTTTTGATATTTATGTATTTTTTTAGGGCCCCTTTATCACATCATGCTACAGGCCCTCGCACTAGCTTCCAGGTGTCAACCAGCCGCGATTAAACTGGGGACATCAAGTTGATGGTCAATCCCCAGTCACCAATGACCGCACACAATAAAACAACGCGAGCCTTGTTTTTATTTTACACTTTACTTGGCAAAATTCCAACTCTGGGGATGTTTCAATGTCAGGGTGGCTGTTGGGCGATGGGAATGTCTATGCCCCCAGCAGGGCGTGTGCAAAAGTGGGGAGCGGTGGTGTAGTGGTTAGCGCCTACGCTGCGCTACGAACCCGGTGACCCGGGTTGGATTCCCGCTCACGGCCAACACCGGTGAAGATTACTTGAACCGGTCGTGGGCCTCCTCTCCTAGGTCGACTCAGCCTCAAATGAGTACCTCGTGCGGTGTGTAAACATCGCCACTGGGGAGACAAAGGCGACCGGGCGTGAGGCTGGTCACCCACCCCCTCGTGTGCCGTTCCGGCCTTCATTAGGTGCTCGTTAACAGCACTTGCCCCAACAGTCTGTTAGGGCTACACGGGGGGGGGGGGGGGTCTTTGTTTTTTTAGAAAAGTGCCACGCCTCCTCGTGTGGCTAAGAGGTCACTTGAAGGAATCTCAGAGGTAGTTCTGTGATATCTTACTCTGCGGACCTGTTCTTCACCTGAGGACGGCTGCTTGCGTTGTGGCCGAAACGTCGTGAGAATTGTATTTTATTGTTTTATTTTTATTATTTGATTATTTCCCTTCTACGTGACTTTACCGAAAGAACCAAGAAGATGAATCCCTGCAGTCACGAAAGCTTTACATCGAATGTACATTGTTTGAGAGTCCTGTCCCAACTGACCACCGCCGGTCACGGGTGACCAGCAGATGGCAGCACAGCGATGGCTCCGTGAAGCTCCCAGAGTCTTCGCCTCGTGCGTCGTGTGTGGAGGAGTGTCGCCGGCTCCCCCCCCCCCCCCCCCCGGGCTCTCCTGGCACGCCAAGCCCAACACTCGACAACGTGGAATTGTGGCTCAAACGTCCCCATGCTGCAGATGATCCTACTGAACAATAGGATTCCGATTCAGCGAGGATTCCCCGGTTTAAGAGCTTTAAAAATAATACGTCTTGTAATACTAAATTCATAACCCCACCGTCAATCCTCCACTGCTGGATGAGCGTCTCTCTCCATTCCGTTGGGCCATGGGGGTGACTGTTTGACCCACATTTCACGTCGCTGTTCGGTGCGAGGCAGGTTCGCAGCGGAGTGCGCTAACCACTGCGCCACCACTCGGGCCCCTTGTTGCTTAGAGGCATTTGAAATCGCCACCAGAAGAACGGAGACGAGCGTCGCTTGACTTACGGGGCGACGCTTGGAAACTTCGAATGCAGATTGCGTCTCTCTTGTACACTCCGCCTCTCCATTGGACGTCCGCGTCTCTCCGTGCCTCCATTGTCTGCCGCCTCTCTCGAACACTCAATCTTACAAGACCGAGACTCCCACCACCACCACCAACTCCATTCCCGCACTACCCCCCACCGCATCTCTTCCCGTGCGAGAGACCCCCCCCCCCTCCCACGTGACTCCTCCCCCGGCTAGCATCCACCACCAAACGTCCTCCAGCATCATCATCGTGGTCGTCATCTCTCTCACTTCTCACGCTCCATCCATCATCAGCCGCTCCTCGGACCCGAGTCCCAAAGGAGAGCCGCGGGGAGAGAGAGAGAGAAGGAGGGAGGGAGGCTTCGCGGAGTTCTCCCGGGAGTTGAGACGGAGTCGAGGTCTCCTCTGGCGGGTGCTGGTGGCGAGACGCTGGGGACAGGGAGACTCGCAGAGCCGGGCTCTGGGGAGGGGGGGGGGGGGTCCGCGCGGCGTGGTTACGTCTCGCTGCCGTGTCTCTCGGTCTCTGCCGCGTCCCTTCGCCGTTCCTCGCTCGCCTCTCCACCCCGTTTCTCGTCCGTCTGCTGAAGCCTCCGATCACTTTGCTGCGTCTTGGCGTCTCTCTGCGGTGTTTCGAGTCTTTGCTGCGTCCCACTACAGCTGTCTCTGTGCTGTGCCTCTGTCACATGTCTGCTGTGTTTCTAGTCTAATTGCTGTGCGCCTCTGCCGTGTCTGGCCGCACGCTGTGTCTCTCTGCTGTCTCGCTCATGTCTATGATGTGTCTGTCTATTGCGTCTCTGTAACCTCTGCTGTGGCTTTCTAGTCCCTGCTGTCTCGCTAGAATCTGCTGTATCTCTGCCGTGTCTGTCTGCATGCTCTGTCTCTCTAGCCCTCGCTGTCTCACTGTGTGTTTGTCGTGTGTCTGTCTGCCGTGTCTCTCTGATCTCCGCCGTGTCTCTGCTGTGGAGTCGTGGCGCGGCCACCCTCGAGTCATCGACTCTCTCTCGCCATCGACTCCACATCGACCCTCTTCCACTGCCACCGTCTTGCGCCTCTTCTGCCCTTCTTCTTGATCCTCGTCCAGCCTCTTACCCCCCACCACCCTCACCCCCACCACCACCACCATCTCTGCTCCTCCACCCGCCACTCCATCACCCCCAGCTCGGCGATGTCGAACCCCGGCACAACCGGCGACCTCAGCAGTGGCCCAACGAGACGCACGACCAGGTCCCTCGCAGAAGACGTCGCCGGCGGCCCAACCAGGGGGCCGGCTCGCGGCCTCGCGGGGGCCCTTCGCCCCGCGCCGCGCACCCACTGGGTGGTGAGCGCCCTCGCCGCGCACTTTGGCCACGACCGCGGGGCCGAGAACGAAATCGCGGTGCTGGCCACCGGCCTCGACCAGTACCTCCAGGAGGTGTTCCACCACCTGGACTACCCCGGAGTGGGCACCCTGCCCGCAGACGACTTCAGGGCACTGTGCGACGTCTTGGGCCTCACGGACGAACGCGCACGTGGTGGCGGTGACGACGACGACGAGAGTGACTATGATGATGGAGGAGGTGGCGGTAGCAGCATCCGTCTCCTGAAGGACCTCCCCCAGAGGTTGACCTTCAGACAGTTCCACGCCAGGCTGTGCGACCACTTCTCCTGCGCCCAGCGTCCACCTGGCCCCGGGGAGCGCATGCCCGTGGGCGAGGAGAACGAGCTCATCGAAGCTCAGATCAGGGTGCGAGACCCTGTGAGGAGGAGGAGGGCTGCGACGACGACAAAGATGACGATGTCGAGGAACACGTCCAGCAGCAGCAGTAGCAGCAGCGGTAGTAGCAGCAGCAGCGGCAGCAGCGGCGGCGGCGACGGAGGCTGCGCGGCTTCCCCTCCCCGTGGCCACGGCGAGACGGACGGGGGGTCCACGGAGGGGTCGGAGGAGTGGACGCATCTCGCGGAGGACGAGAACGCGAGCCTCAGGGAGCTGGTGGAGGACCTGAGAGTGGCGCTGCAGAGCAGCGACGCGCGCTGCCTGGCGCTCAACGTGGCGCTGCGCAAGAGGCGCCTCCAGGAGCCCTCCGGCTCCACCCTGGGCTCTCACCCGGGTTCTCACCCGGACTCTCACCTGGGCACTCACATGGGACCTCACCTGGACTCTCACCTGGGCTCTCACCTGGGCACTCACCTAGACTCTCACCTGGACTCTCACCTGGGACCTCACCTGGACTCTCACCTGGACTCTCACCTGGACCCTCACCTTGACTCTCACACAGGTTCTCACATGGACTCTCACCTGGGCCCTCACCTTGACCCTCACCTTGACCCTAACCTTGACCCTCACCTGGACCCTCACCTGCAGGCGGCTCTGCGGCACGCGGTGCACAGGGAGCGCGCGCTCGTGCACGCGCAGCTGGAGACGGCGAGGAGGGTGCGCGAGGCGCGGCGCCTCCTCGCCAAGGGGCTCGCGCGCGTGCTGCAGCTCGAGGCGCTCTGGAGCAGGTGCGGTGTGTGATGGGTGTGACACGTGTGGTGTGTGATGGGTGTGACAGGTGTGGTGTGTGATGGGTGTGACACGTGTGGTGTGTGATGGGTGTGACAGGTGCGGTGTGTGATGGGTGTGACACGTGTGTGATGGATGGAGCAGGCGTGGTGTATGATGGGTGGAGCAGGAGTGGTGTGTGATGGGTGTGACAGGCGTGGTGTGTGGTGGGTGTGACAGGCGTGGTGTGTGATGGGTGTGACAGGTGTGGTGTGTGATGGGTGGAGCGGGTGTGGTGTGTGATGGGTGTGACAGGCGTGGTGTGTGATGAGTGTAACAGGTGTGGTGTTTGATGGGTGCTGCAGATGTGTGATGGAACAGGTGAGTGGTGGTGGGAGTAACAGGTGTTTGATGGGTGCTGCAAGTGTGTGTCATGGAACAGGTTTGTGGTGGTGGGAGTAACAGGTGTGTTATGGGTGCTGCAGGTGTGTGATGGAACAGGTGAGTGGTGGTGGGAGTAACAGGTGTTATGGGTGCTGCAGGTGTGTGTCATGATGGGTGCTGTAGGTGTTTGTGAAGGCTCCTGCATGTGTGTTATGGGTGCTACAGGTGTGTGATGAGTGCTGCTGGAGTGTAATAGGTACTGCAGGTGTGTGAGGGTGCAACAGGTGTGTGATGGGTGCCGCAGCTGTGTGTGAAGGGTAGAACAGGTGTCTGAATGCTGATGTATGTGTGTGCGGAGAACTGCTACAGATGTACGAAGGACAGTACACGTGCCTGACGGACATGTAAAGTGCGTGAAGGAGAGCGCATGCTAAGAGGCTCGATCTCGATGAGGTTCACCGCGGCCTCGTGGAACCGATCATCAATGATTCGGGTGCTTTCGTTTGTCTCCATGAGCCTGAGGCAATCGTCACCAAATTTTCCTGGAATCTCGAAAATTTATTTTAAAATTCGTTCAACTGTCAACACTCGTTGCCCTCCCATCCCGAGCCTGACCGCCGCCATAGGAACGTGGAATGTCCACCACTGGCCAACGAGATGCGCATCGCCTGGCGCTGCTTTTGAATGGAACAGAGAGACGCGAACTTATTGTTGTTGTTGTGTGTGTTTGTGTGTGTGTTTTTGTGTGTGTGTGTGTTTGTGCGTGTGCGTTTTTTTGTGTGTGTGTGTGTTTGTGTGTTTCGTGTCGACCAAGGGAACGTCCGATTTTCAATTCAAAGTGAGTGTGAAGGCATGGTGTGGTGGGTGTGGGTGGTGGGTGTGGTGGGTGTAGGTGGGTGTGGGTGGGTGGGTGTGGGTGGGTGGGTGTGAATGTGGTGGATGTGGGTGTGGTGGGTGGGGGGAGGAGGAGGAGATGTCGAAATCCTTTCACGGAGTTGGGGGGCAGGGAGAGGATGGCGAGAATACGGGGGGGGGGGGGGGCACGCGGATAGCTGTGTCGCTATAGAGCAGCAGCTGGGCTCTCACTCGCTCGCCCGGGGCAGATGCCAGCACAATGGGGTCGGAGAGAGAAGAGACAGAGAGAGAGGAGACGCAGGCGGGTCAAACATTCAAACATTGGGCGCTTTTGAAACAGGAGGGTGATGGTGGGGGGAGCACAACAAAAGACAAAGCAGCCGCATCACGCCGTGGCCACGAACGTCAAAGGCAAGAGAATGCAATGTTCTCTCATGCAAATGAGAAGTCGTTTCACCCAGCGGGTGTTGTGTGGGTTATTTTCACACCGGTCACAGCGGCGAGATGCGTGGAGAGCGGTGAGCGCCGCGCTCACGAACCCGGCGACCCGAGTTCGATTCCCGCTCACGGCCAACACCGGTGACGATTGGCTAAATCGGTTTTGGGACTCCGCTAGGTCGACTCAACCTCAAATTAGTACCCAGTGCGGTGTGTAAACATCGCAACTAGGTGGACAAAGGCGGCCGTGTGTGGTGCTGGCCACCCACCCCCTCGTGTGCCGTGCCGGCCTGCATAGGTGCTCGCTAACAGCACTTGCCCCAACAGTCTGTTTAGGCTACATGGGGGATCTTTGTTTTGTTTCACACCGGCGACTGCCGCGAGTTTGTGATGTTGTTGGAACAGCCGTCTTGTTTGTTGCTCTTGTTGTTGGGTGGTGGTGGTGGTAATTCCCGAGATGAAATCTCGCCAGATCTCAAAAGCTAAGCGGTGGTTGAGGCTGGATAGTGATCGGATGGGCCAACAACGGGCGCAACGGACGGTGCAGTCACAGGGCGCTGTCGCGTGCAGCAGAGGGCAGTGCGGCAAAACATCCACGAATATTCTTGTGCTCTCTGCAGCCCCAACAAGCTTCACCGACCTGTACTGACCTGCGTGGTGAAGTATGGTCAAATATTCACAGCGAGTCTGCATGGGGTGGTGGGGAAGCTCTCATCCAGCAGTCGATCGCCCCGAGTCGCTCTCGCAAATGAGACGATGCTCGTCTCTTGAGTTACTTGGCCTCGTTAAACTGAACTTTACAACAAAAAATTGGGCAGTAAGCAAATGTGGAAATGTGGAATTTCCGCACTTGGCTTGAACGCGGAGACAGCGGACAGGAGCTTTGCATGCCGCGTGGCGAGATGACGATGATTCTCTCTCGCTCTCTCCCTGGCTCGGGGTTCGCACGGCAGTGGCGAGATGTTAGCTACCTCGCCTGGCATGCAGGGAGTCATCCATTTGAGAAGTGCATTGCCCGAGCGAATAACCCGTTAGGCTACACACAGTCCTGTTTTCAAGTGTGACTCGGCCAGCAGATCGACACGGCCGGAAGAGTTAATAAACAAGATACAAAATAGCTTAAATGTAAAAAAATTTAAACTAAGCGATCTTACGTACATTTGAATTGTTTCGACCTCAACAATGTCTGTTTAAAAGAGTACAGTGATGGCAGAGTGGCGATCCCCAGAGAAGACACCGCCACTTGGTTCCAAAACTTTGGAGCAGCAGCCACCCACGTTAAACACTTTGTGGACCAAGTTCAGTACGAAATCTAGAAATTGAAACAAAGGTCGTGGGTTCGATCCCGACCCTGACGATGCCTGTTGTATATTTGGAGTTTGTGTGTCTCTCTCCGCCCGTGGTCACGTGGATTCTTCTCCGGGTCTTCTGTTTTTTCTCCTCCACATTTAGAATCAACATCACGCGTTTAGAGTATTTTGGTTGCTAGAAATGTCCACGTGACACAAGCCACTTCGTTGAGCTTTCATCTGTGGCGCTGGCCACCCACCCTCTCGCGTGCCGTTCCTGGCCTTCATAGGTGCTCGCAAATCAGCGCTTGGCCCAACAGTCTGTTCAGGCTATACAGGGGTCTTTGTATGGTGAGCTTCTTTCTCACCGTACGTAGCCAACCGTGCGAATGTGGTGGTGGTGCGGCACACACGGACCGGTGTGTGCCGTGCCGGCCTTCGTAGGTCGCTGCTACCGCTGACGACACTTGCCCCCCCCCAGTCCCACCGCCCCATCAATCTGTCAAAGGCTCTACCGGAGTGTGTGTGTGTGGGGGCACGGGGCATCTTTGACTTTGCGATGGCGTGGGTTTGCAGGCACCAGGCGCATCATCGCGTCCAGCACTCCCCGGCGGCGGAGCGCGACAGGAGCTTCTCGTGCGCCTCTCTCCCGTCGCCCAGACGCCGCTCGCCCACGGGCGGCGCTGCCTCGCCCACGTCGCAAGGTGCACGCCGGGCAGTCGCGGCGGCAGTGGTGGTGGCGCGTCTTGGTTGCGCCGCAGTGCGGCGATGATTTTACGAGATCAAAGCCACGAGGAGCATGACCGAAGGGGAGAAGGTGCCCTGCGTGTATGCATTTATTCCATTGGGCAAAAACAATAGAGCTTCATGGCTCATCGGATTCTTCCAGTCCAAAGAGAGATGATTTCCGACGGTGGGTTTATTTCGCCCCGTACGTAGCCAAACCGTGCTAATTCGGGAGGTGCGATCGGATGGACAACGTCAGAGGGGGCCCGTGCAGAGTTGGGGTTCGATGGGCTTAACTGCCACCAGGGCACCGAGGACCAATATCTGTACTTTGGAACCCACGTACTGTGGTCCGTTACTGGTGGAATTCAAGGGGTGTCGCGATCCACCGCCAGAGAGCAATGACCCAGCAATCACTGGATGAGTTTAGCCCAGTACGATTATTGTGCTCTAGACACCAAGTACAAGCGCCACATATATGTTGGGAGAAGTTACTTTGTTTTAATGTAGGAATTCTCAAGTCGGGGATTTGTTTACTTCCCACCAGCCTTAGCGAGGATTGCCGAGTTGCTTATACAGCGGTGTTGGAACAGTTATGGGATCACAGCTGGTGCATCTGCCAGTCATTTCAATTAGTCAACCCATGGCACCTGGGTCTGTCCCGTGACCTGCTTACCAGCAGAGAGAGCCTTCAACACTTCACGTGGCCTCAAAGTGCACCTAGCCTGGCATGGGCGCTGCAGCGACGTCACAGGCAATTTAGTGGCGAACGGCCATTGTTGCTGTTGGTGTTTGTGTTCTGATTTGTCCTGAGATCCATGAGCAATCTTTTGACAGTGCACCCGTGGATCGCGATAAACGCAGTGGCAACCGCTGCTCCAGAGCCCCCCGTAGTGCTTCTCGCACCTCCCCACGCGCACGGTTGGCTACGTACGGTGCGAAATAAGTTCCACGTGCACACATACAATAGTGAAGGTCATTCTGCCACCAAGAGTGACGTGAGCAGGCAAATCGCAGGGCTGCCTGCACCACGGTGGCAAGATGTTGACTACCTCGCCTGGTATACAGGAGTTCATGGGTTCAATCCCAACCCTGGCGCCTGCTGTATATTTGGAGTTTGCGTGTTCTCCCCGTGGTCGCGTGGATTTTTCTCCTCCAGATTTATAATCAACGTGCGTTTAGAGATTATTTGACTGCTATAAATTGCCACGTGTTAAGCCGCTTCTCGTTGAACTATCATTTGCGGCTGGGTCGCTTCTTAAAAAAGAGCTAGAGAGCTCAGTGGGCCTTACCTGGTAAAATAACATATTATAAAGCAGCCCTAAATAAATAAATAAAACACAAAAAACATTTACTTGCATAGCAAAGTAATTGTATTTTTTCATTTGCTATACAGCCAGATAATACGACAAATCGCTAACCTTAATCACCCAGTCGTTCGTAAAAGTTAAAGGTGGTATAGTACTACAGTAATAGAGCAAGTGCAGAATCACTGAACCGGAATTGATAGCTTCAACTTATTCCTCTACATGTGTAGTACATGTCTAGTAGCTGCTACGATAATTAATCCGGCATTGCCCACTGCCCCCGGCTCGTCTGTCTGCAGGCGAGGAACGTCTTCTCCTCCGTGCCGTGGAGGGCCAGGAGGCGCCCGGCGAGGCCGTGGACGCGTGGAGATGCGGGCCTCGTGCCGAGGCCGGCTTCCCGCTGCCCGGCAAGCGGCCGACGCTGCCGCCCGAATGCTGTCCCTACGGGTGCGTGGGTGTCGGGGGGACGGGGGGGGGAGGCTCCTCTCTTTAGTCAGTCCGCTGCTGGATGGGGGCCACGCGGGAGTGGCTTGTGCAGGCTTCACCGGCGGTGCGGGTTGGATACGTACGGTGGGAAAGAAATTCGACGTACGTACGTACAGTATCGCATATGAATACACGAGTGATTCGGCTCAAGTCTCGCGCGCTTCAGAATCGGTACACGTCGATAGCCCCCGCACCTCCACATTAGCACGGTTGGCTACATACGGTGCGAAAGAAGTTCAACATACAAAGACAAAGATGCCCCATATAGTCTTAACAGACTGCTGGGGCAAGTGCTGATTAGCGAGCACCTATGAAGGCCAGGAACGGCACACGAGGCTTTCCTGGATTAACAAGTGTCGTAATATATAATTAAGCAAAGAGGAATAAGTTGAAGATAATGATAAACGAAAACATGTTATGACTTAATAAAGAGCAGTTTGAGGTGGATGACAATTCGGAGCGGATTCCACCAATTCGGCCTTTAACGCACTGCATCGTCGCGGTTCTATATTCGGGTCGGCGTTGCGCCTTGCGGCCTAAATCGCCGGCGACGCATCCCATCTCGCCGCATCTCGGCAGGAGCTTGAGTTTGCGTTTCGTCGCCTGGACGTTGTCCGTGGAACGGGCCAGCACTCCACTCGTGGGTTGCCACACGTGACCACGGTGGGGTGGTCGTTCGCTAGCTGCGGACCTGGTGTGCCACCAGGGGTCAGTGCAGGGCGGAACGTCCGTTGTTTGCTTGTTGGTAACACGCAAGAGGAATTTCGCGTGCGACATAGTAAAGGTTTAAAACAATAATATCGGTTTAACCCGTTCTAGGCAATAAAACATAATGTGCGTCGATTACCGGATAAATAACCTAACCGGCAATGGATATCCAGAGTTAGTTATATGCATTCATTAATCCACTCCCCCCCACTTCGCACGTGAAGGGCTCACAAGTGATGTCATCACATCTACCCCTCTATTTAAGGAACGAAACGAGAGGATTTCTCCACAAATCTGTCTGTCGTCTGATGAAGCTGGCTGTAATTACTGGCGAAACGTCGTACTCAGATTGTAAATGTGGTGGCTTGGCTCTCCAACACACCGGTGTGCTGTACTAGTGACGAATTGGCCACGTTCTGTTTACGTGACAACCCTTACTAGTTGGCTGTGTCGGGTGGTGGCGGGTTTAACGACACATTTATATATTTACGCGATCTAACCCCCCAAAAAAAACCTGTACTGTAAATTTACCCGTTCTGGCAATAAAACAGGTGTTAAGATGTTCGTATGCCAAATATAAACCTTTTTCAAGGAATCAAGTTCGCATTAACCACACGTACTTGTGGTGAACATGCAAACAAACATGCTCTGATTATAATAACATGCACATTGTATTTGAAACTGATTGGCCTACACCAGACAGCAGCCTTCTTTACGGCCTACTCTCACTAGTGCCAGACCAGAGAACGTCAAAAGGCGAACACATTTTATAATAAAAGTTTGTTTTATTTTGGATAGGGGTGGGTTAGGTTTACCAGGTAAGGCCCACTGAGCTCTTTTTCAGAAGCGACCTGGCCGCAAATTATAACGAAGTGGCTTATCAGGTGGACATTTATCGCAGCCAAACACTCTAAGCGTATCCATAATCGTTTTTTTTTTGGGTTAGATCGCGCAAATATATAAATGTGTCGTTAAAACCCGCCACCACCCGACACAGCCAATTAGTAAGGTTTGTCACGTAAACCAAAAAAGTGCCAATTAGTGACTACAGTACTCTCAATTATTTTGGCAAACCTCGGCCGTCTTTGTCTCCCTCGTGGCGATTTTACACACCGATTAGCACGGTTGGCTACGTACAGTGCGAAAAAAGTTCAACATACAGTACGCACATAAAGGCACTAATTTGCGGCTGAGTCGACCTTGGGGAGAGGCCCCAGGACCAGTTCAGATAATCCGTGAGCGGGAATCGAACCCCGGTGGCGGCCAGGTTTGCAGCGCAGCGCAGCTAGACCGCTGCAACCGCCCGCTCGCCACACGAGCACGGGAAAGAAACGAAAAGAATCCACCGTGGCTGCGACGAGACGCGAGTCAACATTTGTGTCGATGTCTCTGCGCAAGATGCCGCAAGGGGCTGGTCAAGCGGCTGGTGCGGACGTTCAGTGACCCGGAGGGCAGCCGAGAGAAAGGTGGCGGCAGGACGTGGGAGAAAATCGCCGCGGGGAGCTGGGAGGCGAGTCCGGCGAGATGCCCGGAGGCCTTTCCCGGCGACTGGTGGAAGAAGGGAACGCCTAAGGGGTCCTCGGCCGGAGGCTCGGAGATGGTGGAGCTGATGAGGAGGGTGCAGAGGCTGTCGGCTCAGCTGCAGGAGGAGCAGGAAGTGCGACGGCGGAAGGGCGACGCACAGCAGGTGATGATTCGATGGCCACATCGACGCTGGTAATAATCTCGCCGCCAGGGAGAGGTGACCTCAGAGGGCCTGGGTTTGAATCCAGGTTTCAGTCGAACTGTGATTCAACCCGGGTTCTCAAGTGGCGTGAGAATGATGACTGCACACACACACACACAAAATAACATGAAAATGTAGTTACGTACTCAATTTGGCTAAATTCCAGCTCTGAGACTGTCGGAGAGACTACAATGCGACGGACATTACAGACATTCATGTGCAGAGCGGGTGGGAAACTGCTGCCTTCTACTGTGTTTGACCAGAGATCACTTCAAGGGACTTCAGTGGTAGCTCTGTGATATCCACAATTCAAAATATATAACACCAGGGCTGTTGGTTTGGGTTTGGTAAATACAGTAACCCACAAATATCTGGACAGAAGAGCCGAAAAGTGCCCAACATGCCATCGGAGACACACAATTATGTACGCGTCTTTTTAATATAACTTGACTCAATAACGGACAATTTGCAACATTTTATAGTTCAATAGCGCAGAGAGGGTGCTGATGTATGGCGATTTCCATGAATGCGGCTTTGGTAGGGTGGGAAAGAAAGCTGGGTGGCTGGGAAAAATATCCATCACCAGCCCTCCGATCAGCACGGTTGGCTAGGTAACGATGCAAAGAAGTCCAACGAACATAATGATGAAAGTGGCGGCTGTCTTTTGTTTGTGCTCGAAAACCAAACAAAAGGGCCAACTGTGCCACTGAAAGATCCAACGCAGAAGATCTCTGGGTTTGATCTTCCACGAAGCTCATGGTCCACCCTTAAACAACATCAGCACACACCATGGCGGATACCTGACGCACAAATGTGTGTGACTGTGGTCATTCAGAACGGACCGTACAATGTGTAACGACGCGTTGCCCGATCCACAGATACAAAGGAGACGTCAAGGCGATACACTCCACTGCTGCTGCTGACGCGGTTATCTGGCTTGACCACCTGAATGTGAAATTGTAGTCGTTGTTCTGCATCTGTATGGGCGCCGCGGTGGTATGTTGGATAGCGCTGTGCGTAACTGGGACGGGTGGGTGATGAGGCCGAGTGAATGGGGGCGTAATCTCGCGGGACAACGCACGGCAAAACCACCGGCACCTCCTGTGAAACTATTGCTCGGGCTGTGTGCGTAAAAGAGACAGCGCATCATATGGGTCATGCAGCCCGCATGGAGCTGAGTGGACATGCCAGTGACCAGTACCAGTGTGTCAAGATCGGCCTCTGTGGAGGAGGCTCGTGAAGGACGCTGCCGGGCAGTTGGAGGCAGTCGCCCACCAGCAACAATAGAGGGCAGAGGAGCGAAGCTCACAACAACGAGAGGAGCGCAGTAGGGGAGGACAGTTGGTGCATCTGCCAGTCAACCCATGGCAAGACTTCCTGCCAGCGGGCGTTCGGCGTTTCACGCGGCCTTAAAGCGCACGTAGCCTGGCACAAGCGCGGTGGTGACGTCGCCGCCACTTGGTGGCGAACGGCGGTTGTTGTTGTTGTTGCATTCCATTGCGACGTATCCCTGCGCTTTGAGCGCGGCGAGAAATTCCCCGAATGCGCTCGCGGTTTGCTCGCAGTGGAGGGAAGGGCTCGTGGCGGAGCTGCGCGCCCGGCGAGAGGAGGGCCGGAGGCTGCAGACGGAGCTGCAGGTCCTGGAGGCGGAGCGCGTGCGGCTGTCCCTGGTGGAGGAGAAGATGGGCGACGTTCTGCACGCGATGCGACGCCTCGGGACACTGGTGACCGAGCGCAACGCCATCGTCGCGTGGACACGAGCCGGCTCCCGGCCGCGCCGCCGGGCGCCGTGACGGGGAGATGTTAACTACCTCGCCTGGTATACAGGAGGTCGTGGGGTCGATTCCGACCCTGACGATGCCTGTTGTATATTAGGAGTTGGCGTGTCTCTCTCTCTCATCATCATCATCACGGTGGCTAGGATATGTTAACTACCTCATCTGGTATACAGGAGGTCGCGGGTTAGATCGTGACCCTGACGATCCCTGTTGTTTGTATATTTAATGTTTGCGTGTCTCTCCGCCCATGGTCGCGTGGATTTTTCTCCGGGCCCTCTGGTTTTTCCCTCCATATGTAGAAACACGCGTTTAGAGTATTTGGCTGCTATACATTTCCACGTGATGGACTAGCCACTTCGTTCAGCTATCATTTGTGATTTCCAGGTCGCTTCTGAAAAAGAGCTATATAGTTCAGCGGGCCTTATCTAGTGAAACAAAACAAGTTTTGTTTAGTAGTTGGTCTCTAGCGGTAATGGGCTTACGCTGACAACCCCCAACCCCAAGCCAGCCGGTCTCGCAGCGTTGCGGAAAACACCGAACTGAGAAACGAAAGCCCCCCGGGTGAAACGACTAACGCTCACCTCCCTCCTGGCGCGTTTCCCCCACACAGAACGCGTCCAGGCACCTGCTGGGCAAGATCCTGGTGGACACGCTGGAGTCGTGCCGGGACGCGGGCGGCCGTGACGACGCCGCGTGCCCGGAGGACGTCTCGGCCGTGCTGGACGCGCTGCACCAGCGGCTGTCGGCGTGCGACCCGCTCGGTGCGGTGCACCTCGAGCCGCTCGCTCCGGGACAGAGGAGGACGCCCACCACAGCCGCCGTCGCCGCCGGCTCCTCCGCTCCCTCCTCCTCCTCCTCGTCCTCCTTGCTGTTGTCGTGCTGAGGGCGATATTCCTCCCGCTCGCTCTGAAGCTTCGGGAGAGAAGGGTTATGGGGGGAGTGAGAGGGGGCTTTAGTAGCCAATGAGGACAGATTGAAATCACGGGCAGAGGAGGAGAGGAAGGTTCTCAAGCCTGGGCTTAAACGGGTGGGGCAGGGGGGGAGAGGAGCAGAGGATGGAGTCAGCAGTGTGGATGTATGTTGATAAACCTCTTCAATGTATGTTGAACTTCTTTCGCGCCGTACGTAGCCAACCATGCTAATCGAAGATTGGGGGGGGCTACAACAAACTAAACGCAAAGAGCGGTTCTAAAGAAATGAGTTTGTCAATCTGGACGACGATTTAAAAGTGCACCGCTCCAGTGGCTTCCTAATATCGGATGGGAGAGCGTTCCAGACGGCCACAGAAGAGCACTTGCAAACGCGCGATGGATGCCCAGGGGAAGGGAGTTCCAGGCTCTAGGGAGAAGCATTAGCAGCATCAGAGAATGAGCCACGGTCCTTGGAGCCGAGGTTGACTGGGGGTGTCAACAGGAGGCGTGTGATTATTGAGTGGAGGAACACGCGAAAATAATAAGTGGGATGAGGGGGTGGGTGGGGATGTGTCCTATGAAGATGGTGAAATACTCGGGTAGGGACATAGCGGAGAGGTAGAAACAGACAGGCAAGCACGTGGACCCTGGTTTGCGAGAGTGCAGTGGAGATGTAGGCAAGGGATAACACCACGCAGAATCTTGAATCATGATGTTTTGTAAAAATTGGGTTAGCGCACGTAAATGTAAATATGTCATAAACCCACCTCCACCAGACATAGCCAATGAGTAAGGTTTGTCACGTGAACAGACCGTGCCAATTTGTTCCAGCTGATGATGCTGGTTTTTGTAATCACCAGCGAAACATCGTTAACTGAATTTGTAAAAGTTGCTGTGAGTTTGCTTTCCAGCACACAACCGGTGGTGCTGAAGTAGTGACGAATTGGCCCCTTCTGTTCACGGCGACAGCCCTTACCGATTGGCTATCTCGGGTAGAGGTGGCTTCAAGACACATTTACTCGATATAACATAACAAAAAAACGCTATCATGAATAATATTGGTCGTGCAAGCCTGAACGTGTTAGAATCTTGAACGTGGCGAGTATTGATCTTGAGGTTCATTGAAGATTGGACCGAGAGGCAGTGCAAGAAGCTGAAGATTGTGGTGATGTGGTCTCGGTAGGAAATGTTTGGCTACAGACAATGAACAGGTGACAAGCATTGATGTTTACCGCAGAAAAGGGCATTGCATTGTTGTTTTATCGACGCATTAGGATACGGCTCACAGAACGGTGGTTTGTGTAAGATATTAAACTGCTTCGCCGTGTTGGGTTACGTGGGCTCGCGTGGTTCTAATCGCTCGGTTGTACAATCTCAGAATTCGAACACTTGCTGCGTTTCGCGGTTATTTGGAGGAGCAGCGGTGGACCAGGCGCGCCAGCAGCGTTTGAAACCCACAGCGCATTGTCCCAGTGCACTGGGGGTGTCCCATTTAATAACCAACCGGACACCGATCTCACTCGCCGTGTAATAAAGCGACGTGTTGGCGTTTTGGTCCATCAACCGATGAGACGTGTGGACTCACGTTTGTCCAGCGGGGGGAGGAGAGGGGGAAACTGACAAGGGAGTGGTGAAGTACCGATGGTCAAGCAACCTCCACATCCAGCAGTGGACTGACATAGGGCTGTTAATTACCGCAGCATGCATTGCAATGGCAAAAGAGAAACAATGAGTTCGGGGTGTACAAGACAAACAGCCCTAACCCAAAACTAGCCAGCCAGCCAAATCATCTCGCCAGCTTGGCCACATTGGCCCTATACCGGTGTTGTTCACTACTTTTCAGAAGGGGAGGGCACTTTCGCCGATAAGACATCATCAGTGTGAGAGACGCCACACATTTTAAACCGTTGAGAGTTTGACAGCAGCACTATAATTATGGGGGGGTGTCTCACATGTTGTGCCTGGCTGTCGCCTGATGAAACGAGTTGTAATTATCTTCTTGGTTCTTTCGGTAAAGTCACGTAGAAGGGAAATAATAAAATACTAAAAATGTTTACATAATTAAATAATTCTCACGACGTTTCGGCCACAACGCAAGCAGCCGTCCTCAGGTGAAGAACAGGTCTGTCGGGAAGACAGCGTCAGACGCACGTGGTTCGCTGGCAAGGACAACTATCCCCCCCGTCGCCGCCCTCGTTTAGCCAATCAGCGATTGTTGGGTGCAAGTGCTGTCACTGCTGTAGAGACCGGCGCAGCGAACAGCCGCTCGCTCCCCACACTGGCGATGTTCACGCATCCCACCGGGGGGGGGGGGGGGGGGGGTGCCGTGCTCGTTTAAGGCCGAAGTCGACCCCAGGAGAGAGGCCAAGCAACCGTCCCAAGACTCATACTCTTAGGTTTTTTCGGTAAAGTCACGTAGGTAAAAATAAATAAATTATAAATAATAAAAATAAATAATAGAAATAATAATAGAAATAAAATAATAAATCACGACGTTTCGGAGGTAACACAAGTCTCCGTCATCAGGTGGGACCGTCACAGCTAGATTTACTGTATCAAGTGAGGCAAAACTCCAAGAGACAAGCTCTTAAATACAAGTTAAGGGGGGGAGGAGGGGGGGCTTATTTGAATGTGGCAGCCAATGAATGGAGCGTGTTGGGTCTCAAGACTCGACATTCGTCACCGCCGCACGCGACCCCGCGAGCGCCGAGTCGAACTCCGGTCGTCCCGGGGACGGAGGGGGGGTCGTGGCGGCGCCGAGACAGGCACGGTGAGCTAGGTTCGAAAGAGGGCGAGGGGCGGACGTCCAAACGACGGCGAACACATCAAACGATGAACGCAACTAATGGATGGGCGGCGCTGCGATGCCGTGGGTGGGTGAGACCCCATCGGCCGTTGTCTACGAGCGCTATCGGCGGCGCAGATGGCTTTGGATGCGGTCCAGGGAAACAGGTGGCCGGTTCCGATAACGCGAGAGATGCCTCTCCCGAGAGGGCATGAGCGAGAGACGCACGGCACGGCACGGCATGCACGCGAGGTTTTAAGCTCCAAATTCCCCCGGGGTCATCCAGTTCCCTGAACGCACAGACACAACGCACGCGGCGGGCACACTGGTGATGATACAAACCAATACCGCCGCAATCCTGCACAGCTGCCTGTCTGCTCACCGCTCACGCCACCGCACATCCGATTAGCGCGGTTTGGCTGCGTACGGTGCGAAAGAAGTTCAGCGTGCGTCCGTACGCACGTGTGCACTCCGACTCGCTCGGTAACCGAGGTGTAGGCAGATATGCGAAAGTAGCGGATATGTGAACATACGGCTGTCACTCATTTCCCATTCGTCATCGTCATTTACGGTCATCAATTTCACTTTCGCCGAATTCACGCGTTACAGATTCGCCACCCTTTGCTTCCTCTCATTCATTTCATTCACCCCCATCTCCACCATTACATTCATTCTGTATGCACCCTTCTTAATTCTCCATAAAGCGCCTTGGTGAAGGCGCTATATGAATTACGTTCAGATCAGGTCGATAGAACATGACAGTTGCACCGTGAACAAATACTGCGCTGGGATGTGGACAGTTAATTGGTCAGGGCTGATACGTGACGTACTGTGCTGCAGTGGCAATTTCATATGACGAGATTAGGTTGAGGATATGCATCGGTGGAGGTTAATCAGCGCTGCATAGGAATGTGGAATTCCCACCACCGAATTGGAGAGGGGCATTGGGACACTATGAGACAACGCATCACCGTAGGGGTCGTGCTTTTTTCAAATTAATTTGATGAGAACTTCTGAACGCAGTGCACGGTGCCCCAACGCAGAATATCCCTGGGTTGGGTCTTCCACGAAATCCACGGTCCACTCTAAACCGCATCCACTGCACAAACCATGGCAGACGCGGATACCCGATCATGCACAAATGGAAAATTAAAAAGCATCCAGTATGCGACTGTGGTCATCCCGAACAGACCGTACAATCCACAAATACGTTGGAGATGTCACGGCGATACACTCTGCTGACACGGTTGTCTGGCTTGACCACCTGAATGTGAAACTGCATCTGTTGCTCTGTCTACATGGGCGCCGCGGTGACGAGATGTTAACTCCCTCGCCTGGTATGCAGAAGGTCGTGGGTTCTATTCCGACCCCGATGCCTGTCTATTTGGAGTTTGGGTGACTTTCTCCCCATGGTCGCGTGGATTTTTCTTCGGGTCCTCCGAGTTTTTGCCTCCACATTTAGAATCAACAGCACGCGTTTCGAGTATTTGGCTGCTAGAAATGTCCACACGATGATAGCCCCCACTTCGTCGAGCTATCGTTTGTGATAGGTCGCTTCTGGAAAAAAAAGAGCTACACATTGAGGCTTACCTGTTAAAATAAAAACAAAATTGTTTTAAGTCAGGCCACCGACCAACGAGGCAGAGCTACCCAACTCGTGGCCTTCACGCTCGCGTCGCACTGGGAGGGAGTTGGCAGTGAACGAGGAGAATCGGCGTGGGGGGGGGTAGTGCTGGATGAAGCTAGTGCGGGGCCTGTAGCATCTGTTATAAAGGGACCCAAATAACAAAAAAACACTAAAATATGAACGCACATGCATATTTACTTGCATAGTAAAGAAATATTTTTTTATTCGCTATACAGCCAGAAAATACAAGAAATCGCTAACCTTAAACACCCAGTCGTTCATAAAAGTTGAAGGCGGTATAGTACTATAGTAGTCGAGCAAGTGCAGAATCACTGAATCGGAATTGATAGCTTGAAAGCATTTAGCGCGGGGCCCGTAGCTACTACATATGCAGTAGTAGCTACTACTACACGTGTAGTAGTAGCTACTACATGTGTAGCTAGTAGTAGCTACTACTACATATGTAGTAGTAGCTACTACATATGTAGTAGCTACTACTACATATGTAGTAGCTACTACATATGGCGCTACTTTTGCTACTAGGATCATCCGGCATTCGGGGGGGAGCAATATTGGAGATGGCGAAGGGCCCCTCACTCTCGGGGCCGCGCCGCTAACCGAGGCCGAGCGCGGCTCTTGAAAAGTACGCGGGGCCGACGGATGGGGGTGAGCCCCTGCTGCCTCCGCCGTTGAGCCTCCCAGAAACGTAGCCAGGCGGCTTCTGAAAAAGAGCCACATTGCTCAGGGGGCCTTACCTGCTGGTAAAATAAAATGTTTAGTTTTAGTTTGCATCAGCCGTACGAAAGAAGAAGACGAAGACTGTGGGCACGGCGGGGCCTGCGAAGGCACAGGTGGCCCACGGCTCTTTCTCGCGCAGCTCAAGTGCGGCAGGCAGGTCGCAGGCCCGTCGTGGAGTCCAGCTAGCGAGGGACCGACTTTCAAGACAGAGGACACGGCAGACGATGTCAGGAGAGCTACCTGAAAGTTTATTTTATTGCCAGAAATGTAGCAGTTTTGCATATGCACCATACATTCTGTCTGCTCACACACACACACAAATGTTGCACTCTAGAGGCTGATTAGTAAGTTTGGTATCACCAGAACATACGTATAATTGTGCACGTGTACGACTTCTCAAACCATACTAAGATTGTGTTCGTATCTGCTAAACAGCGGCGTGCACATGAATTAGTGACAAACGGTTAATATGTATAAACACAAAAAAAAATAAACAAATATATTTAACTGAACTCGGTAAAGATGTTAGTTTTGCTCTAAACGTAATATTAACAACAACTTAAAACGTGTTAGTTTGTTAAAACGTGGGGTTACTTGCCAGAAGTAGCAATCTCACGGGCTAACAGTCTTGCCTGATTTTGTCTCTGCGTGCATGTCTACAACTTACTGTGTGTCTCATTGTGCTAACTGTACGCATGGATCATCCTCTTTAAAGGTTCACCACCACAACGCTGAGCGTTCCTCCGCGCGAACGTAAACCGCGTTGGTGGCACTCGTGCGGACACCGTTACCCCTTTTCCCACACTGGGATATATCTGAACCGAGCCAGCACGGGGCCCCAGCACGGTACAGGTCTGTTTTCCACTGGCCGTCTCCCCCGTGCCGCCCTCGCGAGACATCCCGAGTCTGACTCTCGAGGCCACGCGGCGGCGGTGGCTGACGGCGACGTTCGCACGGCGATGATGGAAGCATCACCGCTCGGCGTATGGCGCCCGGTACCTTCTGAGACCGTGCCGGGCTCGCTCGGCACGGCGCCCGAAGTGGCTCGGTTTGTCCGGTGGGAAAAAAAAAGGCGGACCGTAATTGGCATGCAACCGAGATATAAAATAGATTCATCCACAACAACAAAAAATACGCTGACGAGGAGTCTCAAACACCAGTTGTTGTTTTTGTTTGGTTGTTGTTCCCTTTTGCAAATTGCAGATTTGTTTGCGCTTATCGGTGTGATGCAATGCGATGTATTTCCCTTTGAAACACTCGTAGCGAGCAGAGTGCCAGGTGGAATCACAGTCTCTCCCGCGGACGACAACGTCGCAGAAACTACTTGTGACGCTACTTGAATAAGTCGCTTTATCCGCCCCACG